TGGCCAAGGCTGATGGCCTACCTCTCTAAACAGCTGGATGGAGTTTCAAACGGCTGGCCTCCATGCCCAAGGGCCCTAGTGTCAACTGCCTTGTTAGCCCAAGAAGCAAATAAGCTAACTCTGGGGCAGGATCTGAACATAAAGGCTCCTCATGCAATGGTGACTCTAATGAATACCAAGGGACATCACTGGCTGACAAAATGCCAGGCTAAGTACCAGAGCCTGCTTTGTGAAAACCCCCACATCACCATTGAAGTCTGTAATACCTTAAATCCTGCTACCTTGCTCCCAACATCAGAGTCCAGTGAAACATGATTGTATTGAAGTGTTGGACTCAGTCTATTCTAGCAGGCCTGATCTCTGAAACCAGCCTTGGGCAACTGCTGATTAAGTCCCTCGGAGAGAGGTGTGTGGGGTATACAGTAGTAACCTTGGATATAGTTGTTGAAGCTAAATCACTGCCACAGGGAACCTCAGCCCAGAAAGCTGAACTTACTGCCTTAACGTGGGCCTTGGAGCTGAGTGAAGGTAAGACTGTGAACGTTTATATCGACTCTCAGTATGCCTTTCTGACTCTCCAGATACATGGTGCATTATACAAGGAAAAAGGACTCTTAAACTCAGGGGGAAAACAGATAAAGTATTGGCAAGAAATTTTACAGCTACCAGAGGCAGTTTGGAAGCCCCAGTGGGTGGCACTGTCAGGGGTATCAATGGGCCTCCACCTTTGTAGCCCTGGGAAACTCCCAGGCTGACTCAGAGGCTTGAAAAACAGCATCCATTCCCTACTGAGCCACAGTAACAGCCCCCCTGATCCCCTAAATGCCTGATTTTGTGCCTACCTATTCTAAGGAGGAAAGGGACTTTTTTTCAAAATGAAGGGAGACAGGCAATAAAGGAAGGGTGGATCCAGTTACCAGATGGAAAAATAGCAGTGCCACAGCTGGTGTTGTGCAAGCCATACATGAGACTATACATCTGGGCCAAGAAGCTCTTGAAATGTTATTAGGCTGGTACTTCTACATTTCACCTTTGTCAGCTCTAACAAAGGCAGTGTCACAGCAATGTGTCACCTGCCGACAACACAATGCAAAGCAGGGTCCAACAATCCTGCCTGGCATACAGTCTTACTGAGCAGCTCTCTTTGAGAATCTACAGGTGGACTTCACTGAAATGCCCAAGTGTGGAAGTTGTAAGTATCTGCTAGTTTTGGTATGTACATACTCTGGGTGGGTAGAAGCATTCCCAACTCGAACCAAGAAAGCTCATGAGGTAACCCATGTGCTTCTTTGAGATCTCATGCCTAGGTTTGGACTGTTCTTGTGATTCAGCATGGACAGTGGGCCAGTTTTCATGGCCGACTTGGTTCACAGACGGCAACATTGTGGGAATCACTTGGAAACTTCATGCTGCCTATTGACCACAGAGGTCCAGGACGGTGGAGGAAATGAATCAGACAATCAAAAATGGTTTAGGGAAAGTATGCCAGAAGACAGGATTACAGTGGGTACATGCACTTCCCATGGTGTTGTTTAAAATTAAATGCACCCCTTCGAAAAAGGTACTTCCCTTATGAGATACTTTACCACAGACCTCTTCGTAAACTATGGGGGCTCCCAGGAACTGCTCAAGAGTTAGGTGAAATTGAATTGCAGAGACAGCTACAAGCCTTAGGAAAAGTTACCCAAACCATCTCAGCCCGGGTAAATAAAAGGTGCCCAGCGAGCTTATTCTCCCTAGTTCACCCTTTTCACCAGGTGATCAAGTGTGGATAAAGGATTGGAATATCACCCCTTTGAAGCCTCAGTGGAAAGGGCCCCTGACTGTAATCCTGACCACTTGCACAGCTGTGAAGCTGGAAGGAATAGCAGCTTTGATTCATCACAGCCGAGTAAAACCTGCAGTGGCTGAAACTTGGGAGGTGCAACCAGACCCACACGACAGCTGCAAAATCACCTTGAGAAAGACGACAAGCCTTGCCCCAGCCACATCCTGGAAGCTGGCTGGTCCATGTATGGCCGAAGCATGAGAAAACTCATCGTGGGGCTCATTCTCCTTGAAATTGGGACTCATGTAGTAAAAATTTTACCTAACTTTGGAGACTGTTCTCAGTGTATACATAAGGTCACTAAGGTAGGACAAAAAATCACTACTGTCCTTTTGTTCTACAGCTATTATGAATGTACAGGAACTCAGATGGGAACTTGTTTGTATAATGGCACCCAATATAAAGTGTGCAGCCCAGGTGATGGGCAACCAGATGCCTGCTATGACCCATCAGAGCCCCCCATGCGCACAATTTTTGAAGTAAAACAGTTAACAACGGTGGCACGGAAAACCTCAAGTAAGTTAATTGCTGGAACAGAGGAGAAAGGAATCCCCAAGCAAGTTGTCATAAAATTTGATGCTTGTGCAGCTATGGATAAGGGGTGTGGCTCTCTTGGTTGGGAGCAGAGTTATGCAGTGGAGCGTAAGTATATGTGCCAGACAACATATTGGTGTAGTGAATGTACTTACTGGTCATGTGTTATCTGGGCCACTTGGAAAAATGGTAAAAATGACCCCGTTCATCTGACAAAGGGAAAAAGTAATATTCCCTGGAGTAATGTTCTCTGTACCCCTGGGCATTGCAATCCATTAGAGATAATAATTATAAATCCACAGGATCCCCACTGGAAAAGGGGAGAATATGTAAAGCTAGAAATTGATGGGAAAGGACTGGATCCCATGGTAAATATCTTAATTCAAGGGGAGGTCCAAAGATGTACCTCCAGTCCAGTGCTGGTGTATCAGACTTTTAATGATGAGTTAAATGAACCAGCCCCAGAACTCCCAAAGAAGATGAAAAACTTGTTCCTCCAGTTAGCTGAAAATGTAGCCCACTCACTTAATGTTACTTCCTGTTACGTGTGTGGGGAGACTACAATGGGAGATGGGTGGCCACGGGAAGCCAGAGAGTTAGTGCCCTTTGATCCTGTCCTGGACCTAACCTCAGTCCAAAGAATTCAAACCAACAGCTTCTGGGTCTTAAAAGTCTCGATTATTGGACAATATTGCCTAGCAAGAGAAGGAAAAAACTTCACCGTCCTGGTAGGGAGGCTTAGTTGCCTGGAACAGCAATTGTATAATGAAACAGCAGATACAGTCACTTGGTGGAGTTCAAATCACTCAGAAAAGAACTCTCTCCTTAAATTCCCTAAATTGCAGGATGCCTGGAATCATCCTGGGCTTCATTGAGACTGGACAGCCCCAGCTGGGTTGTATTGGGCACAGAGCGTATGTGCAGCTGCCTGAAAAATGGACTGGCAGCTGTGTCATAGGCACTATTAAGCCTTCTTTCTTCCTATTGCCCGTCAAGACAGGTGAATTGTTAGGCTACCCCATTTTTACATCTCCCCGGGACCCAAGAAGACTGTCTATAGGAGATTGGAAAGATGATGAATGATCCCCTGAAAGAATCATACAATATTACGGGCCTGCTACATGGACACAGGACAGCTCATGGGGATATCAGACCCCAATTTATATGATCAACCACATTATCCAATTACAAGCTGTCTTAGAAATAATCAACAATGAAACCGGTAAAGCTTTATCTCTTTTGGCCTGGCAAGAAACTCAAATCAGAAGTGCTATTTACCAAAATAAATTAGCACTAGACTACTTGCTAGAGGCCGAGGGAGGAGTCTGTGGAAAATTCAATTTAACCAGTTGTTGCCTGCATATAGATAATCGAGGCCAGGCAGTTGAAAACATTGTAAGAGATATGACAAAAGTAGCCTGTGTCAGTGCAAGTTTGGCATGGGTTTGACCCTGCATCTATGTTTAGGAGATGGTTCCCAGCTTTAGGAGGATTTAAAATCCTCATTAAAGGTGTGGTGCTGGTAATAGGTGCATGCTTGTTGCTCCCCTGTTTATTGCCTGTATTCCTCCAAATGATTAGAGGTTTAGTCACTGCTATAGTTCACCAAGAGACCTCAGCTCAAGCACATTATATGAATCATTATCAATCGGTATCATCACATGACCAGGATAGTGAGGAAGAGGGTGAGAACCCCAACTAATAAATAAGTGAAGTTCTTAAAGTGGGGAACTGAGGAAGGAGACCCCCTTCCTTTGGTTTGTGCTTACGGGAAAAGGAGGAAATGATATTTAAAAGCCAGCCAGATGAGGTCAGTGGAGGAACCAGCCGAACACAGCTGACCAGGTCTGAAAGTTAAAAATTAACCCCCCTACTCCTGACCACAATCCTATCTATAGGTCACAGGCATGGTATGGAGGAACCTTATCCTGGAAGGCATTGATCTTACTCAGCTACTCAAGACCCCTATCCAGTCACATCCCCAAGACTCCTTGCTAAATCAATCATGACCCTCTCAATGTGCATCTCTTAGATCTCTTAGATTGTGAGCCTTTAAAATGGCCAGGATTTTCTTTGTTGGGGAGCTTGGTTGTTGAGGCACCTATGCCTGCTGCAGCTTCCAGCCAAATAAAATTACCACTTCCTTCCCTGTCTGATGTTTGAGAGGTTTGTTTGCAGCTGCTCTTGCTTCAGAACCACCAGCAGACTCCCAGACATTCCTTCCCTCCTACATTCACTGTACTGCTCTGTGTGCTATTAGCTATGTCTGGAATGTTCTTCCTTTTTCTTCACTTGGCTAACTTATTCTAATTATTTTCAGATTTATCTGGACACATTTGACAAACTCCTTCCTTCTTTCAGCCAGGATCAGGAGGCCCCCTCTGTGCTTCCACATACCTATCAAGACTCTCATGTTTCACTATCTGCTTAAATGACAGTCTCCCTGTAATACGCTGATTCTTTGTGTTTTATTTTTGAATCCTCAGTGCCCAGGATATAGCAAGCATCCCTGCTTAGGACATAGCAGACACTCAATATATGTTTAAGTAGTGAAGAGATACATTTATAAAATAAGAGTGAAACAGATGATTTCAATGGTCTCAGCCAATTGTAAAATACTACACAATTCTTCATTTACCTCTACTGGCCTCCCAAGGAAATTCTTGTCTGTCATCTTATAATGGTGTAAGGCACCTTTGTGCTTGTAAGTGACATCGATGTCCATATTCAAGTGGAGTTGTTTAACCAGGAGTGAATATTCTGTCAGGCCCTCGATGGCATTGATTGTATCCTGTCAACAATCAGCAAGGCACAAAAATATGTTTAGTTTATTTATATACTGCCTATTTACAAATGCCCTTTTTATGAGTGGGTAGGGCAGCATTGTCTGGAGTTGAAACTCCAGCTGACTCAGTAAGACTGGTTTAGGGCCCCATCGTGGAGGTGGAAGGAAGGTCTCTCCCTCCTCAACAAAGACATTGCTGTTAGCAGGGAGAGGAAGGAAGTGTGGCCTCATATCTGGGTCTTCTATATAGACTGCAAATGTAACCTCAGGCAAGTCACTGCAGAATTCCTCTGAGTCTTTGCAGGATTATCTCTTCCTCATTCTTTAGTGTCAGCTTAAGTTATCTCCACAACAAGGCCATAAACTCCCCTCTCCCATTATTCTGTTTTAGTGTCCCTCTTTTGCCCTTTATAGCATTCATCTCAATTTGTAATACTTTTATTTATAGTTTATTGCTGACCTCCCCCACTGCAATGTAAGATTCGTGAGGCAAGTAGGTAATATATTTTTCTTGGTGCCGGACATGGTTTGAATGTGTCTCCCAAAGTTCATGTGTTGGCAGCTTGGTCCCCAATGTGGCGGTGTTAGGAGGGGAGGCCTAATGGGAGGTGTTTGGGTCATGAGGGTACCATTTTCATAAATGGATTAATGCTGCTTATCATAGAAGTGAGTTTGTTATAAAAGGATGAATTTATACCCCACTCACACCAACCCCCTACTCCACCTTCTCTTTGCACTTCTACCGTGGAATAATGCAACAAAAATGCCTTCACCAGGTGCAGCCCCCTGATCTTGGACTTCCTAGGACTCAGAACTATGAGCTAATAAATTTCTGTTCATTATAAATTATCCAATGTGTCATATTCTGTTACAGCAACATGCAATGGACTAAGGCACTGCCCATTGCATTTAGTGGGCACATAAATATCTGTTGAAGGAATAAACTTTATCTTTCTGGATCTCATCTTTCTCATCTATAAAACTGAGAAACATGACTAGATCAGAGATGTTAAACAATGTGGCCACTCCCTCTGCCTGTATCTATGGCAGTGAGTGCTTATCAATAATGCCTCAGGTACAACCCTATAGTTGTACCTGAAATGAAACACATTAGATGGTCACTAAATTAATACTGAAGGCCCTCTCTACCGCTAAACTTTATATATGTAGATATGCACACTCCATCATTATCTAAACATCCAGGCAACAGGGAAGATATTAGCATTCAAGTTAAACTTTGAATATAAGTATATATTATACAACTACATAATAATTAGTTGTAATACAAAATACGTACACAAATGAGTTTATATTAAATAGCTAGATAGATTAACATATAACAATCAGTATTTCTTTCACTTTTTATTTATTTCTTTGTGGAGAAGAAGCACCAGTACCTTTGTCTACATGGCAGCCACCATATATTATATAGGATATGACATACTTGCCAATAACCTTACTAGCCTTTTATGGTGATTTAGAATCATGAAGGAAGTACTGGGCTTGAGATCAGGAGACATGAGTTCTGATTCTGGCTCTGCCATGAATTCCCTGAATGAAACTCCCTGGGCTCATTTCCTCTTTTGTATGATAAGAGTGTTGATGCAGATAACCTCTAGGGGTCCGTCAATTCTGGACATTATTCATATCTATTGCATGCTCATTTGGTGGCCAAAGGCATGGAGGCCAGAATGAGTGTGGTATGGGAGAAAGTAAAAATGTCTACAGGAAGATTAAACAAGACAAAGAAATGTTACCTGGGTTGAATAAAAGCCGCCCCCATATCTCTGCTCTTCAGATAGCCATTTGATGATTGGGTTAACATAATTTATGTCTTTCAAGTTCAGACTGGTGAGTAAGGCATAGGCAGTTGTTTCTACCATATGTGCCGTACCAGTGTTAGGTACAGAGTTGTCTTCATGTTGAAGTTTGTCTTTCCAAAAACGATAAATGGGTGGATTACCTGAATATCAACAAATCACATTCATTAATATGATTAAAAATGTAAATTTGACATAACAATTCTATCAGGTGTATTATGGTGTTCTCGTTTCTAGAAGCTACTTACTTTTTTTTGTTAGAAGAACTTTCTGAAGATTACCAATGCAAAACAAGATCCCTTAATATGGTTCTACTTCTCTACTCATCTTTACACATTGATCATCTATAATCTGAAAATCTGAAATCGAAAATGCCCCCAACATCTGAAAATTTTTGAACTCTGAGATGATGCCACAGGTGGGTAATTTCACCCTGACCTTGTGATGGGTCACAGTCAAATTGCAGTCAAAACTTTGTTTCATGCACAAAATTATTGAAAATACTGTATAAAATTACTTTCAAGCCATGTGTAAAGGAAGGTATATATGAAACATGAATGAATTTCATGTTTAGACTTGAGTCCCATCCCCAAGAAATATCATTATGTATATGTTTATATTCCAAAACCTGAAAAAAAACCTGAAATCTGAAATACTTCTGGTCCCAAGCAGTTCAGACAAGGAACACTTAACCTGTTTTTTTATTTTTGTGTATGTTTTGAGACAGGCTCTTGTTGTTACCCAGGCTGGAGTGCAGTAGTGTGACTGTAGCTTGCTGCAGCCTCAATCTCTTGGGCTCCACCTCAGCTTCCTGAGTGACTGGGACTATAGGAGTGTGCCACCATGCCTGGTTATGTTGCCCAGGCTGGTCTCAAACTCCTGGGCTCAAGCAATCCTCCTACCCTGGCCTCCCAAGGTACTGGGATTATAAGCATAAACCACTGCATCCGGCCTCAGTCTTTATTTTAAAATCAACACAGTACACATGTACTAGGAAGGGGCAGTTTAGTAGAGTGGAAAGTGCAATTAACTGGGAATTAGTAGACCCAGCTTTTAGTCTTTCTTCTGTTATAACTTACCATGTCACTTGGGGCAAATTCCTTTAATTCTGTGTGACTTCGTTTCCTAATACCTATAGTATAGATAATACTTTCTTCCATGTAGTGAAATTCAAATGAAATACTAAATATAAAAGATTTTGTAAACTAGAAAGCACTATGCATATGTAAAGGATTTTTGTTATTATTACTACTGACAGTAAAAAATAAATTGGAGAACTTTTCCTGATAGGAAAATTTACATCCTGGAAATTATGAGATTACACCTAAAGCCTTAGTTCAGTATTTTATTATTTTTTTCCAATTTAAAGCACTCAAGACAGTTTCACACATGTAGCACTTTTCATAAATTAGGCTGTAAATTATATTTGTTATTTAAACCTATAAACCCCAAATCCTTTTGGGAATGAACTTAAAAAAAAACAGTAATGTATATTTGGTAATGCATTTTTGAAAGTTAGTCAAAATTTTTATGTATATATTTATAATTCATAACTACATTTGCATGACCTTGAAAAAGATATTGACCCTTCCTCTCAGAGTCTCAGATTTACTGTATTTTTATTTTCTTTGAGACAGAGTCTCTCCCTATCACCCAGGCTAGAGTGCAATGGCATGATCTTGGCTCACTGCAACCTCTGCCTCTTATGTTCAAGTGATTCTTCCACCCTAGCCTCTCAAGTAGTTGAGATTACAGTCACCCGCCATCATGCCTGGCTAATTTTTATCTTTTTGTAGAGATGGGGTTTCACCATGTTGGCCAGGCTGGTCTTGAACTCCTGACCACAGGTCATCTGCCCACCTTGGCCTCCCAAAGTGCTGGGATTACAGGTGTGAGCCACTACGCCTGGCAGATTTATTGTATCTAAAATGAAGAGTTGACTTTAGGTTTTTAAAGAAATCCAGCTGGAAAAATTTTTGGATTATTAAGTTCCCTTCTAGCTCTTAAATTCTATAATTTTATGATCCATATCTCACAATACCCAAGACATTTCTTTTGTGTTATTTTTGAAGTATCATACAAGTGATTTTGAGGCATATATTAAAGTACAGTCATTTTAAAATGACACAAATCATATTTTGTAGATAGTCATAAACCTCAGTAAGATTTATAAAACTTTAGAAAATCTTAGCTAGGAGAGGACTCCGAAGTGCCAAATCATGCCAGTAATCACTGCTACTTTTTCCATTTTTTTTCTCTTGACCTATAGGAAGCTGTATCTCTAGTCTTCAAAACCAAACACATACTTTTATAACAAACCTGGTAAAATATAAGCCAGGTCATGCACTCCTTTGCTCAAAATCCCCCAGTAGCTCCCCTTCTCACTGTCAAAGCTGAAAGTAAAGTTCTAGGGCTCCTTCTGGTCCCCACAGCCCATTGCGGTGGAGGAGTCGTGGGAACTCCTTGCTCTGGGTGGAAGCACCCTAAACTAGGGTACGTGGTCAGGGGAGTGGAGCACAGGCTGGATTTCAGCCTCGATTCACTTGATTCCTTAGGTGCTTTGTCCACTGCACAACTGTTTACAGAAGCCCTGAAGAGACTCTTTAATGCCTTAGATGACCTTCCCTTGCTTCTTCACCTTTGCCTCCCCTGACCTCACTTCCTACTCCTCTTCTCACTCATCAGCACTCCCACTGGCCTCTGTGGCATTCTTGGAGCACCAGGCATGCCCATGCCTCAGGGCATTTGCACATTCTGTTCTCCACCAGGAACACCCTTCTAGATAGCCGCAGGACTTGCTTCTTCACGTCCTTTCAGGTCTTGATGCAAACACCATCTTCTCAGTGAAACTTAAGCCCAGTCAGCTTGTCTAAAATTACAAACCATCCTCTCACCTGAATGAATACATGAATAAATGAATGAATAACAGCACACATTACTTTGTATTGTGATGGTTTGTTCCTTGAGGGCAGAGATTGCATCTTATTCAAGTTTGCATGTCATTACCCACTTCCCAGATTTAGCAGACTTTACGGCTTAGTGAACGCTAGTTGAATAAATATATGGAACAAGTTATACCTTTAACCAAAGCTTTTCTCTTCAAAGTTGAAACAATTGAACGAAACTGTGGGTGAGTTTTATCTCCCAGGGAAAGAGCATAGGCAGCAATGGCCAATGTAAAGTTGCTCTGGGCTGGCAGTGTATTTTCAAGCAGAAAGGTGTCAGCTTTAATTAGAGCTGTGTTGATTTTCTGGAAACAAGAGCAGAAGATAGTTCAGTTTCTATGCCAAGCAACCACCTATCAATTGATACGAACTACCATCAGGTCCTACTGTCCTCGAGTAGGCAAGATGGGGGGTAAAAAGAGGACTGACCTAATGGGAATGGATGGCTTCTCAGTGAAGCAAACCCCTCCAAGAGAAGGAGCAGAACATAATCTTGGAAGAGACAATGAAATCCAAATCAGGTTAAGCTTTTTGTCTCTGAATTCTCACCTTCCTTTTAGAGGTTTTGTGCCTTTAGTTTCTGATTATACCATCAGACCTAGCCTCCAGGAAGAAAAGGTACCGAGCATAGACACAACTTTTATCATTCCCTCTCAGCATAGTTACAACAGGTACACATGTTCAAAAGGAGGTATACTTTTAAAAATTAAAACAATAAGAAGCAGAAGGAAAGCCAATCTGCCAAACTACTTTTAGATCCTAAGAATGCCTGGGTAAATAGTCCCGATCACTAGTTCCGACACCACCAAAATGGTTATGTTGGACAAGTGGGCCAGGAGAAAGCCTGCTGCAATGCTGCTAACATCCTGCCTGTCTCCTTCTCTCCCAGCTCAACATGCATCTCTCACCCATGTGGCCACTAGGTGCCAACTGGTCCTCTAGGCTCCTGGGAACTGGTCATCACTGATTATTTTGTCTTGTTAAGCTTTTGAAACAAACTGAAAACAAATGGTTTTGTTTTGTGATTCCAGTTCTGCAAATCTCCTTGAGATTTTCCATCTCAACCCTGATTTGAAGGACACATCTAATTGACTTCTGATTTGCAGGCAGGAGTATTTAACCTCAGCTCAGGAATCATCTCTTCCCAGACCAGGGTATCACCTCAATTAACCTTGGAAATCTTCTATGTTGATTCACTTAGGTGGATCATCACTTTTCTCCCCATTTCTAAGCAAGTGAAACAGTACAACCCAAAGAAGCACACTTGCTGTTGTGTATCCTCAGTACTTGCATGATAGAGTGCTTTCACTATAGGATAACAGTAACATATATAAAGCAAGATTTAGGGGAGATAAGAGAGAGAAGCTGGGGGCACTGGATCATTCTCCCATCACAGTCCCAGCTATCAGTTTTAGACTCAGCTCTACAATTTATTAGCCTGTGACATTGTACAATTGAATTCACTTTACTTACAGTCCTCAGCTTTCTCAACTGTCAATGAGTAGGTTGGATTAGGTGGTCTCTAATATCTATTATAGTTCTGACATCTTTCAATTCTGGAGTTTAAGTTATTGTCAAGTAATTGAAAAGAAGGAAAAGAAGCTTTTGAAACTAAAGGTCTTCTGATTGGTGGCCCCTCCAGTATATAGCATAGAAAGAGATGATGGGTGTTAGAGAAAGAAATTTCTTACCTCCAGGGGGCATATATCAAAAGCCTTTCTAATTCCAATCACAGTAAAGGCTGTAAGATATAAATTGTTTTCTCGGGCTTCAACAGGCAAGGTACCCTAAAAAGAAGCAATGTTTTAAAAGGAAAGTGAAATGGTGTCTTTAAAGTGAAATGACCTGGCTCTACTCTGTGTTTTAAGTCTTATCTCCCATTCTTTCCCTTCATGCACTGCAGGTGGACTGCTTCCCATTTCTCAATCAGCCCTAGGTCTATCACACTTGAGTGCTTTCACTTGCCCATCTCCCTCCACCCCATTAAATGAGATATCTAAGATATCACTTCTCTGATCTCTAGTGAACTGTCTGAAGATCACTTCACTTCAGTATTATGGGAAGACCTTTGTATTTTTTTGCTTGTTCACAAAAGAAATTTCTTGCAGAATTACATTTTCTTTCTTTCTTCTTCTTTGTCCTCCCATAATCGGATAAGAATAAAACTCAAACTGTAAATAAAACTATTGCTAAGTTGTGCATTTGGTTTTCTTACCTGTAATTTTATTGGTTGATACTGTGAGTTTTCCTTGAAAGATCCATTATCTAATTGATGATTCTCAACCAGCCACACTAAAGAATTACAAATTGAATTTCGGTTCTGTTCTACATATTTGTTTACTTGTCCAAGTACTCTTAAAGCAAAAGCTGTTAGCCTTTAAGACAAAATCAAATAAATAAACATTTAGAACACTGAATCCATTTTGGCTTGCAATTAGTTTATACAACTTTATTCTTTAAAAGAAAATAACATTTTAAAATATACAAGTTCAAAGTAAGTCACCATTTTACAAAGGAAGGGAAGATTTTTGGAATATCTCCAAAACATTGGGTAAACAAATGTGAATAGCACATTTTCTGTGATTACAACATCGTTAGCTAGCACACAGCTAAAAATTGATTCCTGATGATAAAAGCATTACACTCTAAAGTTAAAGATAACAGAGGTAAAAATAAATAGTTTTGAGTCAAGGCACTGACCCATGAACATGAGACATGAAAGTGTAAATCATAAAATTCTAGACTGTAAAATTTGTACATGCCATGGAATCTAAATTCCTATCTGAGGTCCCAAGTACCCTTTCCCAATGTCCCTGGAGTGTTTATCTCACTTGTCCTTGAGTGCTGCCATTGACACAGAACCTACTACCTCACAGGAAACTTTAATGATCATGATTGCTTAATCAAAAAGCAATTTCAAGTCTCTTCTAATACCCATTGAAGAGTATCAGAGAGGACTGAATGCATTCCCCATAACATCTCTTCACTCTCAGACGCCTAGGAGCCTCCACTCCCCAGGTCCTCAGATGTCTGAGACTCAGACCACTTGATTCGCCCTCCCACTTCCCCTCAATTTAAAAATTTGTGTAACTTCTTCATTTTCATTTTTAAAATGTATTTTAAGCATTTGTAAAGAGGTAAAACCCTCATATGATTCAAAAATCCAAAAGTGAAGCCTGGGTATCATAGTGAGACCTTGTCTCTACAAAAATGCAAAAAACTAGCCAGGTGTGGTGGCATGCACCTATAGTCCCAGCTAGTTGGGAGGCTGAGGTGGGAGGATTGCTTGAGCCCAGGAGGTAGAGGGTGCAGTAAGCTGAGATTGTGCCACTGCATCCAACCTGGGTGACAGAGTGAGACCCTTTCTTAAAAAAAATAAAACAAAGTTCAAAAGCACAAAGGTATATATAATCAAAAGTCTCTTTCTAACAGTCCTTGTTCCCCTCCACCTTCCAACAGATGACTGTTGTTTCTTATGCATGCTTCCAAACAGTAGATATAAGAATATAGCCTTCCCATCTACTTTTTCATCCCAACACACTAAAATAGTGGGAGAATATTTACATTATCCTGTGCTTGGCCTTTTTTCATTTAGTAACATGCTTTAGAGATCTGCATTAATACATAAAGTTTCCTCATTCTTTTACAAGTGATTTTATACATTATATTAAAGTATTTTGGTACAAATGCACCAAAGCCATTTAAGCCATTTCCCTTTCTGTAGACATTTAGGTTATTCTCTAATTGCTTTGCTCTAATTGCTTTAATTATTTTTGATTTATTATTATTATTTTTTGAGACAGAGTCTCCGTTGCCAGGCTGGAGCACAGTGGCGCAATCTCGACTCACTGCAACTTCCACCTCCCAGGTTCAAGCAATTCTCCTGCTTCAGCATTCTGAGTAGCTGGGACCACAGGCACCCACCACCATGCCCAACTAATTTTTGTATTTTTAGTAGAGATGGGTTTTCACATGTTGGCCAGAATGATCTTGATCTCTTGACCTTGTGATCTGCCCGCCTTGGCCTCCCAAAGTGCTGGGATTACAGGCGTGAGCCACCGTGCCTGACCTAAAATTATTTTTTGATATTAGTTGGAACTTGCCCCTCCACAACTAGGCGCCTTTTCCTAATTCTTTCTCTAGAAATATCAGAAATTTATTTTCTATTCTGTTGACTGAGCTCCTCTTTTTTTAATCCCCTGCACTGCTCTCAGGGAGGAGAAATACTTCTATTGGTTGCTCAGATTCAAGGACACTCATATTTTCAAAGATTGGCCCACATTTTATATTGGGTCTCTCTTGGGATTTTGGCTTTTGGAAGCCTCTCGTCTTTTAGCAGACTAGAAAGACATATGAGTACAGTCATATGGCCAGGCTGCCTTCCACTTATCAGATATTTGGCCTATTATGTACCTTTTCTATGCTTTAGGTACATCTTTGGAAAAAGGCAATAGCAATAAATAGAAAAAATGGACTCATCCTTTGGGATCAGTTATAAGGATTATATATATGATTATACTTAAAATAGTTATGGAATTACAGTATTCAATAGGTATCAGCTTTTACACCTTTTTTTTTCCCTTTATTTTTTTCTTTTTTTAAAATAGAATCTCACTCTGTTGCCTAGGCTGGAGTACAATGGCATGATCACAGCTCACTGCAACCTCCACCTCCTGGGTTCAAGCAATTCTCCTACCTCAGCCTCCCTAGTAGGTGGGATTACAGGCATGCACCACCACATCCAGCTAATTTTTGTATTTTTAATAAAGATGGTGTTTCACCACGTTAGTCAGGCTGTTCTCGAACTCCTGACCTCAGGTGATCCTCCTGCCTCAGCCTCCCAAAGTGCTGGGATTATAGGCGTGAGCCACCACGCCCGGCTTTTATAAGCTCTTACTCTTATCTCTCTTTCCCTTTGGAACTCTTGGGTGCCTCAGTCCTAGAGTCCTTAAGGAGTGGGGGTCTAGACAGTTCTTTCCTAAAGGTGAAGCAAATATATCTTGCTCTAGCTTTTTGCATTCTCCTTTTCCCACTGACCTGTCTCTTGGAGACTGCCCTGAAATTCAAATTTTAAGTGTGACTTGGAGGAAAAAAAGAAAAAGTAGGCTATTTGATTTGCTTTTGTTCCCAACCCTAGGCTACCTCTACAAGTTCTTAATATGGTCTAGTTTAGTTCCTCATGTTTTACAATAGAGTCTGGGACGAAAAATTTAAGAGTAGAAAAGAATTTTTTAGTCACCTTGAAGAGAAATCTGGCAAAATCTGATAAAACTGTACATATGTATAACTTATGTTCCAGCAGTTCTATCTCCTGGGATATACACTAGAGAAACTCTCACATATGTAGACAAAGAGACGTATGAAGATGTGCATTATCACATTGTTTGTAATAGCAAAAGTTGGAAATGGCTGCCTGTCAAGATAGGAATATATACTATGTGATATATTTGTAAAATAAAACACTACATGGCAATGAAAAGGAGTGAACTATATTTACCTATACTGTTAAATCTAAAAATACTAAGTATTAAAAGAAAAAAGTAAGTTACAGAATGATAGATATGAAAATAGTTATAATCATTTAGAAATACAAAAAGGGACTGTGAAGGCATAACTTCATTTTGGAGGCAAAACAGCCATTCTCTCTTTTACAATGCTTAACTTCCTTAAACAGTGCTTGCTTAAGAATTCCAGGAACTAGACATGAGATAAAAATCAAGGTTGTGAAATGTGCCCTGGAGAAGAAAAATACCGAGCAGTTAATCTACAAACCTGTTTCAGTCTAGCTGACCACTAGATGGCCCATTACTCAAGATAATAATCAGAGCAAGACATGCTGACCTGTTTGTAGCTAACTGCCTGCACATAGTTTTCCAAGCCCCTTCCTCTTTAAAATCCCTCTGGCCAGCCTGGGGCATTCGGGATAGTTTCGTGAGTCTAGTCTGCCATCACCTTGGGTTGCTGCCTCCTGAATAAACCTGCTTTTCCTCCTACCAACCCCTGTCTCCTGAGTTTGGCATTTGAGCAGTGAGCAGCCAAAGTGGAGTTAAGTTACATCTATGTGATTTCATGTATGTGTATTATGTAAAACATTAAAAATGTTCTGGAAAGATGCATAAACTCATGGTAGTGAATGACCATGGGGGAAAGAAACAGAAATAAGATGGAGGCTTGTAGTTAAACAGAAAACTTCAATATCCATAATGTTCTCTTTAAAAAAAAAAAAAAAAAGACAAATACAAAAAACGTTTATAGTCAACAATTTGGGGTTTTGTTAATATGAATGGTATTTGTACTTTTAAGAATCTTTGTATTTCTCAAGAAAATTTGAGGGTATTTAGGTGCTAGACATTTTCTTCTATGTCTTTTATTTCTTTCAAGGAACTTATGGAGTTGGGTCTATGTTTCTCACCCCAAACTGTTGAAAGGCTCTGAGTGTCTACTGAGAGGCTGTTGAACCTTCCTGTGGGGCTTTCTGCTCTCCAAATGGGTTGCAATTTTAGACATAGATCTATTTCCCAGGTCCTGCTGTGGCAGTTTCCAGTTTTCATTGACACTGACTCCCACTCCCGGATCCTGAGTTATCCCCTGGTTGGTGTGCTGCAGGGGTCTACATGTCCTTTCATTAATATATAATTTTTACATATATTTATTTTTTATAATATATAATATATAATTTTAAATATATAATATCGTTTTTATTGTTTTATTAAAGACAGGGTCTCCCTATGTTGCCCAGGCTGGTCTTGAACTCCTGTGTTCAAACCATCCTCCTGCTTCAGCCTCCCAAAGTGCTAGGATTACAGGTGTTGAGCCACTGCACGTGGCTCTGTGTATCTTTTAAAGTGCACCACCCACACGTGGTCAGACCTATTTCTAAGGTATAATCGATGGAACTTGGTAGCTGATCAGAGATAAAGCCAAAAGGAAAGGAAGGAATCAAAAACAACTGATGATTCTGACATGATCAATGGGGGACAAAGGGCAAGGTGTTGCTGTGCACTGAGTAAAGAAACAGAGAAATGTATCTGAGAAAGAAAAAAAATGAATTTGGTACACATTGTTTGAAGGGCTTTTGTCTCCCAAAAACCTAGAAATGTGGATCTAGGATATTTCCTAACTTCTTAGGAAAGAACTTAGGCCTTGAGACATTGATTAGGGGGTCATTGGCCTAGACGTTATGAAAGTCATGGGCAAAAATGAGATTGTACCAGGAGAGTTTACAGAAAATAAGAGAGCCAAAGACAACTTTCTGGGAACTCTCAATAGTTAAAGAAAAAAATCTAAAATTAAAGTATTCTAGGTTGTGAACTCCTTAAATATGTTTCATACAGAACCTACAAAGCAGCTGGCACATCGTGTCTATCAAACATTTTGTCATAGCATGATGATTTTGTTATTTTGATTTTTGTTTTTTGAGACGGAGTCTCAATCTGTCACTAGGCTGGAGTGCAGTGGCTTGGTCTTGGCTCACTGCACCCTCCACCTCCCAGGTTCAAGTGATTCTCCTGCCTCAGCCTCCCAAGTAGTTGGGACTACAGGTATGTGCCACCATGCCCAGGTAATTTTTTAAAATTTTTACTAGAGCTTGGGTTTCGCCATGTTGGCCAGGATGGTCTTGATCTCTTGACCTCATGATCCATCCGCCTTGGCCTCCCAAAGTGCTGAGATTACAGGCATGAGCCACCACACCCGGCAGGTATTTTTTGAAAATAGACTACCATGTGGACTCTTAATTAATTCATACTATCTTTCCCTCAAATCATCATAATTTTGGAAGTTATGGTTCATTGAATAAATACTTATTGAGCGTCTACTATGTGCCAGGTATGTACCAGGCACTAGAGATACCTAGGATGTTCCCGCATGGAGCTTACATTTCAGTTGCGGAGATAGACAATAGTTGAATAAACAAGAATGTTAGTAATTATGCTGAGAAGAAAAAAAATGATATGAGATATTGGAAGGGGAATGGGTTGCAGTTTTAGATATTATGATATAGCAGAGGCCTCCCTGAGGTGACATTTGGTAAAGACCTGAGGGAAATGAGAGCCAGTCATGCTGATACCTAAGGAGGAGTATTCCAGACTGAGAAAACAGTCAGTGCAAAGGCCCTGAGGTGAAAACATGCCTGGTGTGTTTGAGGAAGGCCAGTGGGGCTGAACCGAGGGTAGAGAGAGCGTAGGAGATAAAGTAGGAGACATGAGGTGGAGCCAGATCATACAGAGTTTTGTATATCACAATAAAAATTTTGTTTTTTACCCTGGGTAAGACGGAAAGCTCCTAAATCATTTTGAGTGGCATGATCTAACATATGTTTTAACAGGGTCACTTCAGTGGCTGTGTTGAGTATAGGCTGAAGAAGATCCAGGGCTGAACCCAGAAGACTAAGGGAGGCTAGTGCAATAATCCAGACAGGAGGGGAAGGTGTCTTGGAACAGGATGGTGTGGTGGAGTTGGTCAGAAGTAGTCAAATTCAGGATATATTTTGAATCCATATCTGCTGGATCAGATGTGAATTATAAGAAAGGAGTGAAGGATGACTAGGCTTAGTCTGAGCAACTAAAGGAATGGAGTTTACATTATGGTTATCCTTCTTTAGTTAATTAACCACTATATGAAAATGCAACTCAAAATCTTCTACTTACCAAGTGCTAGCACTTCCACCCTTCCACACGCTGTAAGAATAGTCAGCATTTCTGAAGGACATAATGCTCACCATCCCTAAGAGGAACAAGAAAAAGAACACAGTGCTTCACTGACCTCCGTTTCTACTCAAAGAACACTTTATCAGCCCCTGAGAATGGTAAGCTTCCTTTGCTGTTGGGCAGAAAGCATAAGCTCTGTGGCCAGCATTGAACTTCTCAAAGGAAGTATGTGAATTGCTTGAATTGGGAATTATCAAGTAGAACATTCTGATCTCATTCCAAGAGGAAGGAAGTGTTCTGCACTTTGGAATGCAGGTGCCTTGTCTCTCATCCAGGCATTTTGGTAAGTTAAGCTAAAATGCTACAGAAATCATCTTTATATAGTAGAATCCATCTCATGATTTTTTTGCTAAAATTCTTTTACAAAGTTTTCTATAATTCACAACTTAAATATTCAGTGCAATTAAAGTTTAAAATCACCCAATTTTTATGTGAAATTCATTTTTTTACCTGCTTTTAATTTTTTCTTTAGGTTCTGCTTTTCAGTTAATGAGTTAGGATGAAAAATGTTCCAATGATTCCCTGCTTCCAGATAGTGAAAAACATAGAATACTGGGACAATGCTCATCAGCTCCGCCTCTGCACTGCCTTTGGGGAGGTGGGTTAGGATATTGACGCCTTCCTGGCTTAGAGCTGCAGAAAAGACCTCACCTATGAGCAGTCCTGAAACAGAAAAGATCAAAGTAGACACAATCACTTTTTATTAACTTCTAATAGTACATTCTGAAGAGGGAAGAAAACCAACTAGAGATGGTTCTTCCCTTTTTATCTAGGCAGTTGACTTGCTTCTCAGAAAGGGGGTGAGTAAAAAAGATCTAGTTAGGAATATGAATTTGAAAGAAACAAAAAAATACTTTAAAAATCACTGAAATATGGTGGTAGGTAATGTAATACAGTGGACTGATTGCTGCAAGAGAACATGGCAAATTAATTGTCATTCAACCTGATAGCTTTAGACATCATAAACCATATTTACCAATCTTTTCCAGGAAGCAAAGCAGAGAGTCTAAACAGGGAGTGCTGACATGACTCTGTCTATAACTCACTGTGCAACCTTGGACATGTCACTTTCTTTCATATCCAACAACAGGGTTGCACATGATTGAAAAGACCCTTTTCAGTACTAACATTTTGTGATTCTAAAGTTTTATCTGAGATAAAATGTAGTCAGGACATTCTATCATTTGGTAATAAGTTATTGAATCATAAAGCCTGAAGACTAGGGAAAACCTAGTAACTTCTGCAAATATCACTTCTGCAAATGTATCTGAGTGGAGGAGAACCCCTACCATGGTTTGAATGCATATGTCCCTCCAAAATTCATACAATCAAGCCCAATCACCAAGGGGATAAGTACTAGAAGATGGGGTTTTTTGAGAGGTGATTAGGGTATGATGGCTCCACCCTCATGAGTGGGATAGATGAGGTGTGAGGAAGTTGTTCACTCCTTTTTGCTCTTTTGCCCTTCCACTTTCTGCCACATGAAGACAAAGCAACATGTGTCCTCATGGAAGCAGAGAGCAGCTCTTGCCAAATACCTAATCTGTTGGTGCCTTGATCTTGGACTTCTCAGTCGCAGAACTGTGAGAAATAAATTTGTATTTTTTTTTTTTTGAGATGGAGTCTTGCTCTGTAGCCCACAGCTGTAGTGCAGTTGCACAATCTCGGCTCCTACCTCAACCTCCCAAGTAGTTGGGATTACAGGCACAAGCCACCAGGCCCAGGTAATTTTTGCGTTTTTTAGTAGAGATGGGGTTTCATCATGTTGGCTAGTCTGGTCTTAAACTCCTGACCTCATGATCCACCTGCCTCAGCCTCCCAAAGAGTGGGGATTACAGGCGTGAGCCACCGTGCCCGGCCTAAATTTGTATTCTTTATAAATTTTGTTATTTTGTTATGTCAGCGTAAATGGACTAAGACAATCCCTCTGGGACTGGTAGTTCAGCAGAGTAGTGCTGTTCTGTCCAGGCCATGTGCAGGCATATAAAGCCTTCTCTGGAGCGGGACTGGCCACTAAGACTATAGAAAGTTCTTTAAGTCTAGAATCAACTGCACCCCCTACTTTAGAGGTATCTTTGAGCCAATGACAGTCCCTACGCTCCATCATGGGAGAATGAATCTCCATGTAAATCAGGCAGTTGGAAGAAGATAGTGGAAAAAGTGAACAGAGGTTTGAAAGTGGGGTGAGTAAGGGTAGAGCACTCCTAAAGGTAGGTTTGTGTGTGCTACTGAATGCAGAAGTGGAGAAACAGAATAATCATGAGGATATTCGATTTCTGTTTGAAGCACCAAGTGAAACGAGAAATAAAAATAGCATTTGTTAATTTACCTTTTATACTCAAAATCCTTTTGATTTTTGTTTTGGGGACCAAATCTAATGGTATCCTGTATGGGAACTCCTTTCGTCTGCTAATGGTACCTGCAATTTAGAAAATTTGGATTTATACAGAGTTTCCAGGGGAAGACTATTTGCAGATTATTTACAGTGTATCTACTTTCAAAAAATTTTTCTAAATAAAAGACTCTTATAATTAGACTATTAAAATTTTAGAAGAAAGTTAAAAATCATCAAGGACTTTTATCAAAACCTATGTTTGTATAATCTTATTAAATAAAGCGTTAAACCTGGCTATAAGCTTCCTGGTCATTATAAAATGTGAAATAAATAGGTTATATAAATCTTATTCACCAGCAAAATATAGCATGCCATCTTGTCCAAAGAGAGAAGATTGTTCCTGGAACTGAAAGCCAAGAATAACTAACATGCAATTTCTTAGTCAAGGATATATTGAACATTAGATCCACAGGGAAGTATGACCTGAAATTCTTTCTACCTTCCCTTCCCAGTCTAGTTTTGATACTGTTTAATCTATAAGCAAAACAACAGAGTTTTAGCATACTAGTATCAGATAAGTTTTTCTACTGTGATCACTGGTTTATGTCCAAAAAAAGGAAACATTTATCATTCTACTGATAGAGTACCAAGCATGCTACTAAGCTCTTTAACTGAATTATTGTATTAGAGCCTCACAACAACCCTGTATGTTAGGTCAATTTTCATTATTTTAATTTTATAGATGAGGAAATTGAGGCTTAGAAAGTAAAGTGTTCAAGGTCATAGAACAAGTACAGGTGCAGCTGCAATCCGAACTCCAGAAGTTTTGCTGCAGAGCCCACACTAGTCACCACAAAGAGAATCCACCTCACATTGTCCTTCTAAGAAAGTGCTTTGGGGACAGGAATCATTTCTCATTCCAGTTGCAGTCCCAGCATGTAGCATAGTCACTGGCATATGGAAGATGCTAAAGAAAAATGAGTCATATTTTGAAATTTAATGGACAAGCCATGTAGCTTTCCTAAAAATGCAGGAACATTCCTCTTAAAACTTCTTTCTTCATTAACCCTTGATAAATGAGAGGATATATCAAAATAAAACTCAGTGAAGATTTAAGAGGTTTGCAATGTGGGTGAAAGAGCATGGAGTTCAAAAAGAGGTTACTATATATGTGATACTGGGCAGCATTCAACCTTTCTTAGCCTCAATTTGTTCATCAGTTAAATGGAAATAACAGTATTTTCCTCAAAGATTTTTGTGGGATGAAAATGATATAGAAAAACATCCTGGCATACAATTCATGCTCAGTATATGGGACTTACTACAGATAGCTTTGAGATTATCCTAGACTTGCTCCTCCACCATTTTCCCCACTGAAACCTGCTCTTGACTATTTCAATTCCATTGGTAACTCTATTACCAGATGGAAAAGGTAAAGAGAAAGTTAAAACTGAGAGAAGTTAATTTTACTCCTCGTCAGTAATCATGATAAAAGACCCATCAAGACATCACACAAAAAGGCAGATTCCAGAGAGATTAAAACATTTTCAAGTCAAATCTATAAAATTAATAGACTATCTACAATATCTTTGTGAACTAAGAGAAGAGAAAGACCTCTTAAAGATCACCTAAAATATATATAATCATAAGATAAAATTATGATGGATTTGACTACATCAGAATAAAGAATTCCTTTTCAAAACCCGTGAAGGTTTGTTGTTGCTCAAAGAGGTACATAAGAGACAAAATCAATAAGAAATTTAAAAAAGACAACCCAAATGTAAAATTTTAAAACATGCAAAAGGTATGAATAGGCAATTGACAGATGGGAAACCCAAATCGACAAGTATATGAAGAAATGCTTAAAATCACTAGTAACCAGAAGAATCCAAATTAAAACAATAATGAGATACTGCTTTATACCCATCAAAGATGCCACATTTTAGAGAGGCAAATGTGGTTGGTGAGGTTGTGGAGAGAGGAAAACCCTCATGCACTGCTAGTGGAAGTATAGCCATTTTGAAGGGCAATATGACAGAACTAAATGGCATTAAATATGTGTATACCCTTTGACCCAGCTCCTGGATATATAGTCCAGGTAAATGTGAACACGAATTTTTCAAGGAAAATATATATACAGCGATGGATAAAATTCACTAGGGGATGGATAAAATGGTGAGGAAACATACTCTGAAATTCTATGTAAGAAAAATGAATTAAATATACCTATAACAATAGAGATAGAGATATTACTATATACAGTTTGCTCTCCCTCACCGATATATTTTTCTGATTTCCTTTAACATCATTGTCCATTTATTTTTCCAAATACATTTTAGCAGTTTTTAAAAACTGAATCCTGTAAAGTATCATACTTGTATAGCAACTTCAATATATAAATATTAGAAGTAGGCCAGGCATGGTGGTTCACATCTGTAGTCCCAGCTATTCTAGAGGCTGAGGCAGAAGAATTGCTTGAAACCAGCAGGTGGAGGTTGCAGTGAGCTGACACGGCACCACTGCACTCCAGCCTGGGTGGCAGAGTGAGACCCTGTCTCAATAATAATAATAATAAATATTAGAATATTAATAAAATATCTGAAGTAACGTTAACAGAATTTTCATCTTTTCCCTCTTTAACTCTCTGGAAATCAGGAAAGCTGCCTAAATCTAGGTTGCCTAAAATTGTAAGGGAAAAAAGTCATATGAAAAGATTGAAAAGAGGCATAGATTTTTGTTTTAACTCAGATTTTGTCTAGAGAGATTTATTTCCAGATAAAAGACTGTTCCTATCCTGTGGCTCTGATGTTCACACCTAGGCTGAGTAAAACAAGACTGCTCTGGAAAATTGTTTGCAATAATGTCAGTATAGGAAGCATCAGTGGTGGAAAAAAGAGAGAGAGAGAGAGAGAGAGAGAGAGAGAGAAAGTAAAGGACACAGTGGTTTTTGAGGTTTGACATAATTGCATGAGGCTGAAACCCTCAAAACTTGTAATATCTCTACCCATATATCATTCACAATGGGCAGGCTGGGAGGAGGTCTGTGTGAAGGAAAAATTGGAGAAACAAGTAAGCATGTGGACATATGTACACAGATGGAGTTTTCTTTTGAATTATTCTACTGAATTAATACTCCTCAGTTCATAAGATTCAGCTGAATTAAAGTGTAAAGGGTATTAATTCTTTGCTTTCCCAGAGGAAATGACACTGATGATAGTGGTTATGATCTGTAAGTAATTTTTTTCCCCATTGCTATATCACTGAAAGGAAACAAAAATTATTGATACAACTTTAAGATAAATTGTAAGTATTTAATAAGAACTATAGTAATCTGTCTTCTTTAATTAAAAAGAAAAGAATGGTTAACTGGGCACATCCTAAATTTCATGAATACATGTATATGTATTTAGACCTTGATTAAGTACTCAAATGTTTGCAAAATTCTAGCTTTGGGAATATTTGTGATATCTCAATTGAAGGAAAAGCAGGGAAGCAGGAGCAATGAGGAATGGGTTTGTTAAGTGATTAATCAGCATTACTATGTTTTCAAATAATGCATGTTCATTATGTAAATTACCTTTTCTTAGGTGTTTTTTGGACTGTTGACTCAATAATAATATATTATAAGTTATTATTGTGATGGATAGAAAATGAATAACATATAAGGGAAGTCATGTAATTATTACTCTTTCAAGGACTTACATTCAAAATTAATGGAATTATTATTGGTGTGTCTCAGTCATTCAGATTATAGTAGTTGTTCTATAATGCTGTCAAGAAAGACTGTCAAGAAAGACAGTGATCTAAGAAGTGGATACATCTTTTTTTTTTTTTTTTTTTTTTTGAGACAGAGTCTTGCTCTGTCTTCCAGGCTGGAGTTCAGTGGCATGATCTTGGCTTACTCCAACCTCCACCTCCAGGTTTAAGTGATTCTCCTGCCTCAGCTTCCTGAGTAGCTGGGACCACAGGCACTCCCCTTCCCCACCACACCTGGGTAATTTTTGTATTTTTAGCAGAGGAAAGGTTTCACTATGTTGTCCAGGCTGGTCTTGAACACCTGACCTTAAATGATCCACCCACCTTGGCCTCCCAAAGTGCTGGGATTACTGGCGTGAGCCACCATGCCTAGCCAGAATTGGATACTTCTGATTCTAGACAATTCACATTCTGAAAAATAGTGTTTTAAGTTATATACACACTTTAACTTCTAAAGCAAAAGACAACATATAAAATAAAAAATCATTTTGCCTACCATAAAGACCCCTAGGATCCAAAGTAATGCCAGAATAGCTTTCCCTTTTGACACCTTCTGGCTAAAATAAAGGCAGAAAACATTCAGTTAAAAACATAATTAAGTTTATATAACCTGAATTTCCTGGATCAACTTTTCCAACTAAAAAATTCTTTTTCTTGGAAAAGGCAAACTATGTGTAAAATACTTACATGCATAAAAGCAGCAGTAAGATTTTATGGCTATTTGCATATTGACCAGAGCAAACAATTAAATGGAAGTTATTTATAAGTCATATAATTGTTCTAAGTGCTTTCTATGTATTAACTCATTTAACCTCTAAAAACCTCTATGAGGTTGGTGCTGTTATTACTCCCATTTGACAGATGAGGAGACTGAAACACATGGAAATCAAGTAACACCATCACACTGCTAGGAATTTATGGAGCCAAGATTCAAGGCCAGGCAGCCTCGCTCCAGAGTGCACAGAACCACAATGCAAGGATATATAGGACTGTGACTTGCACAAAATCAGTTGGTACATGTTTACTGAAGTGAATTTCATAGCTGAAAACAGAACTCGGAGAGTGAAGAGCCAGGAAGACCCAGTCTGTCATTAACTGGTCATATGACTCTTGGCAAGAATCTTGTCCTTTAAAAAGTATTATTATTTTTAATTTGTAAATCATACTTATACAAAAATATTAATGTTAATAACAGGAATACAATTAACAGACTGTGAGTAAATTGTACTTAACAAATGATACTTTTCTTCCTTTTTGGGCCTGTTTATTTGTTTATACAATGGAAAGTTTTCTAGACTATAAGTTCTTTAAATTCAAGGGTCATGTCTTATTTATTGTTTCATCTCCAATACCTTGCATAATGTCTGGCACATAGATTTTAAGATGCACTTTCTGAATGTATTAAGGGAAGAACAGCCTGAAAGACATGTACCAATTGTTAAAATTGGGTATCTCTGGGTATGGGAATTACTGATGATTTTTATTTATCTGTGGTTTTTCAATATTTTATATTTTCTACAAAACAAATATTATTGTTTTATTAAAAAATTTAGGCACAATTTCAGACTTATAGAAAAATTGCAAGAATAGTACAACAAAATCTAGAATAACCTCCAGATTCCTTAATGCTTAATGTTTTGTTAAATTTACATTGTTGTTTTTCTCTCCCCCTCCTTCTGTGTCTCTCTTTTGCAGTCATTTAAGCATAAGTTATTTAAGCATGTTTTTCTTACCACCACGCGTAATGTTTTTACTAAGATTTCTTTTCCAAACGAAGTGTCCAGTGAAAAATTGATGTTGTGAAGGCCAGTTTCCAGAGGAAGCACGGTGAATGTTACCAAGTGACTGGAGGAACCCTCTACTTTCTGGTACACACATTTGGAGAGCTTTGTGCTCTGATGATCAATGGCTGGGCTTCCCGACATGCAGATTCCCTCCACAGCAGACATTTTAACACAGAACTGAAATACCACAAGTGAAGAATTCTATCAAAATACATTTTTTTTTTTTTTTTTTTTTTTTGAGACAGAGTCTTGCTTTGTCGCCCAGGCTGGAGTGCAGTGGTGTGATCTCAGCTCACGGCAACTTCTGCCTCCCAGATGCAAGCAATTCTCCTGCCTCAGCCTCCCTAGTAGCTAGGATTACAGGCATGTGCCACCACACCCAACTAATTTTTGTATTTTTAGTAAAGGTGGGGTTTCTCTACGTTGGCCAGGCTGATCTCAAACTCCTGATCTCAGGTGATCTGCCTGCCTCAGCCTCCCAAAGTGCTGGTATTATAGGCATGAGCCACTGCACCCGGCCTTGAAATATTTTATCTCTAAAAAAGTTTACCTTGATTATGCTTGTGTGGACACAAACTCTCCACTTTAACAATGTTAAAATAATCCCTTAGATTCTTAGGCACAGGAGAAAGCTCCCTTCAGATTTCCTAACATAGATACACAAGTTGTTGTAGAGTTTAGCAATGCAAAGAGATGTCTAGAAAAGTCAATACTGTCTCAGACACATCTTACCCCTCTCAGACTGTTACCTACTAAATTAGGCACAGAGCTCATGCTGTTGTGATAGAACTTGTTATCCTGTCTCCTTACATGTTTGTTTGTATTTCAGATAGTGGGAGCCTTAGGTTCAGGTAGTTGTTCATTTTCATCTTATTCATCTTTGTATCTTTTAGCTTAGTCTCTGGTATTCAATAAATGATGGTTTCATCAAAGACTGAAAATTCCCTATATTGGCATTCAAGGCCCTGCCCATTATGTCCTCAGCTTATTTTTCTAAGCTTATCAACTTCCCATTTGTATCTCATTTTACAACTAAACTCTGGCTCCAGAAACACCTGGATTCAAATTTTGGCATCCGTCTTATTAACTGGTGATGAAAAGTAGTTGCATGAACTCTCTAATCCTCCATTTTCTCATCTTTGTAATGGGAATAATAATAGTGCCAACTGACTTCTGGCTCAACTAGTGAACATTTTTAGTCTTCCCTCCAAATTCTGGTGAACCGATAAAATTGAGAACTATACCCAAAAGAATAAATTCATAAAATCCAGAATAAATCAAGCAGGTAAACAAGAGAGAGCACCAGCTATTCAGCCACTAATTTTGAGGAATTTCTTGAAAATAGAAAGTTCCTTTTCTCTCTTAACTATCTTCTTGAGAGACAACCACCAGGATGGGAGGGGCTAGAGCAAACGACTATTGGATCACCTTCAGCCAGTGATTTCCTTAGGACAGCAGGGGTAGGGTGGGGAAGGATAGATATAGAAGAGTCATTTACTACAATTCAACATAATTGCATTATAAAAACTCTTAGTAAATTGAGACTAAAAGGAACTTTTGAAACCGATAGAAAATATCAAAAACAGTGGTTCTGGTTTCAGTAATAGCCAAATAGCTCATATTGGGCAACCCTTCTGAAAAATAACCAAACTCTAGACAGACAAGAAATATATTAAAACAAACAAACAAACTACCTGCAGATACCAGAGAGTGGAAGGGAAAGTGGCACTTGGGAGAAGGGAATGACACTGAATAAGTGTCCTGCTTTTTATAGCTTTACCCTGAGGGCAGGCCCCATTGGTGCCTTGGAGCGGCTAAAACCCCAGTAGAATCTGACATCATACTGGCTTGAGGAACTAAAGGACAAAATAGGGAGTAGTCACCACAGCTGAATAGTGAAGGAGCTCCAAGTTCTGCATATAATCCTGGCTCAAACCTGGCTGACCCTTGAACTATGTACAGCACAGACTTCCAGCATTCCAGCTAAGGCTAAAAATACTGAACTGAGATTTCAGAGTTTGGGACTGAATTCAGCCAGCTGTCTGCTAACACACACACACACACACACACACACACACACACACACACTCACTCACACACGAAAGATCTTTAGAGGAACGTAATAGAATCCAGAGTCTACATAATATTTTTATTAATAAAGTCCAAGGTTCAATCCAAAATTACTAGATACAAAGAGATAGGAAAGTGTAACCCATACTCAAGAGGAAAGGTAATTAACAGGAACTAACCCCAAAATATCACAGATGTATTTGTTTCTTATTTCGATATGATGGAAATTCACTGATAATTTAAAGATTATGTAAAATATGGCAGTATAGTAATATGCATGACACTTTCAAATGCTGTGAAGTCATGTCATTGCAAAGGACATACAAAAGAGATGGCAGGCTAGATTTGGCCCGTGGTACACAAATTGCTGACCCTTGATTTAGTTAAACCAAAAGGATAAAGAGATTTAAGAGATTCAACATATGGCAGGTCAATTTCCTTATATTAATTTATAAATTCAGGACAATACATATGAAAACCCTATTATAATTTTTAAAGGAGAATTCATCAAACTAATTCCAAAGTTTATCTAGCAGAGTAAATGTGTAAGAATAACAACATCAAAAGCATTTGAAAAGTAAGAATACCAGAGAATACCTGCCTAATAGATATAAAATATAACCACAAATCTATGGTGCTTTTAATCAGTGTGATATTGATGTAAACAAAACAGAAGAGAGAATCTATAAATAGATTTACATATATGGAAATTCAATATATATGGGGGCAAGGTGACATTTTAAATCAGTGGGAAAAGATGAATTCCTTACAAATACTGCAGGATCACTGGCTATCTATTTGAGATTAGCTCTTTATTTCAGATTTAAAAAAAAAACTAAATGCTCATAAAAAGCTATAAAAGTACCACAGAAAATAGAAAAAAACCAGGGTTTTTTTTTTTTTTTTTTTTTTTTTTTTTGAGATGGAGTTTTGCTTTTGTTGCCTGCTGAAGTGCAATGGCACAATCTCAGCTCACTTCAACTTCTGCCTTCCAGGTTCCAGCGATTCTCCTGCCTCAGCCTCCTGAGTAGCTGGGATTACAGGCATGTACTACCATGCCCAACTAATTTTGTATTTTTAGTAGAGATGGGGTTTCTCCATGTTGGTCAGGCTGGTCTTGAACACCCGAACTCAGGTGATCTGCCTGCCTTGGCCTCCCAAAATGCTGGGAATACAGGCATGAGCCACCTCACCTGGCCAGAAAAGAACAGTTTTTTTTACAAAGATTTTATTTTAGGTTCAGGGCTACCTGTGCAGGTCTGTTGTATAGGTAAATTGCATGTTGCAGGGGTTTGGTGTGCAGATTGTCTCATCATTCAGGTAATAAGCATAATACCTGATAAGTAATTTTTTTTTATCTTCACCCTTCTCTCATTCTCCACCCCCAAGTAGGCCATGGTGTCAGTTTTGTGTCCACATATACTCAATGTTTAGCTCCCACTTGTAAGTGAGAACACGCCGTTTTTTGTAGAAAAACGTTTTTAAAACTTGCTGTGTGAAAAGATTTCCAAAAACACCAAAGTCAGAAGACATAAAGGAAAAGATCTACAGATTTTATAACACAAAAATGAAAAACACTAACAAAGTTAAAGACAAGTAGCAGATTAGAGAAAATAGCAGCAACATTTATAATCAATAAAAGATTAATAGCTGTAACATACAAAGTGCTCCTGTAAACAATAAAAAGTACATTTGTTGAGTACTTACTATGGGCCAAGTACTATATTTACATGAATTAGCTCATTTAATCTTCAACTATGAAATAGCTACTAGTATCATCCCATTTTTCAGATGAGGAAACTAGGCAAGAAGAAGCTAGGTAACTTATCCCAGAAAAAAGCAACTTGATGGAAAGCAAAAGAAAGGGTATTAAAGTAGTATATAGAATATCATAGAATACATTAAAGAAGAAATACAAATGGCCAATAGACAAATGAAATGAGGTTCAACATTGCTAGTAATCGGGGTAGTGAAACAGAAACATCAATGACATATCACTTGTGTCTGTCAACTTGGCAAAAATTTTATATATATTAATAAACAACATATAGTACTGTCTTTCATGTTTTTAAATATTATGTAGTTGTATTCATTGTGTACATATTATTTTGCAATTTGCTTTTTTCAGCAATGTTATATTTTTGAGCTTCAATCAAAATGATACATGTGGTTATCTAGTCCATTCATATCAATTTCTGTATATGTGCTCATTGCATGCATAACAGAAAAAGTATTTATCCCCTAAATTATAAGAATGTGAGGGATCAAGGCTACCTGAATACAGTTGGTAAGAATGTCAATTGATGTAGTCCTTTTGGAAGATAATTATGGCTATATTTATCAGAAGGTAAAATGTCCATGCCCTTTAGCCCAGTTAGTTCACTCCAAGACAAAACATTCATCCTACAGAAATATACATGTAGGAAGATATGTATGCATAAATGGAGACTTTGCAAAATCACTTATAATAGTGAAAACCTGGAAACAACCTAAATGTCTTTAATAGAAATATGGTTCAATAAATTATAATATACCCACCATGTGAATTACTGTGCAGCCGTTAAAGTAATGAAGTAAATCTGCATATACTGATATGGAAGGATGTCTCTGATAATATTATTAGTGGAAACACAAATTGCTGATCCAGTGTGTGTGTGTGTGTGTGTGTGTGTGTGTGTGTATGTACATATATATATATGTACATACACATACACAAACCTATTTCATATGTTTAAGACTAGGTGAGCAGAGGAACCCCTGCTGATCTCAGTTCTACAGCTGAACAGAGTTTGGCTGTGGCCTCTGTGCCTTACCTATTTGTTATGCCCACCTATTTATGTGTCTATCTTGAATTACAGTTTACATGGTTTAAGAGTGACACCTCCATAATCATCTACCAAAATCCTTTGGTAGCCAAGATCAGTGTGAGTTATAAAGTTATGTTCAGCCTGTTTTGATGAGACAGTCTGACTGTCTTAGTATCTCAGTTTCCAGGCCTCAAGCCAATCGTGAATCAGGATTTTGAGACATAAAAAACACTACATGAACCCACTGGAGAAATAGTTTTTGGTATCTCTACCTGAATTATGCTTATCTTAAATTCAAGAAAGCATTCTGTTTGCAGAAAAGATAATGAGTTTGAAGGCAATAATGTTAAAGCAACTTCCCAGCTTCTTAGTTGAGGCCCTTTTCCAACTCTTCACATTGTATTTAGGGTAGTGGGGGTGAAGCCAAATGAGGGAAGGCAATTCCACAGGGCTGAAGATGGTAGCATAATTCACAGGATTTATGCAAACCCTGTGAGTAAATTCTAAGGAAGATAAAAGAGTAACATTTTGACTTTATTTCTGTAAAAATAAGATAATACTGGCTGGGCACAGTGGCTCATGCCTGTAATCCCAGTACTTTGGGAGTCCGAGGTGGGCAGATCACGAGGTCAGGAGTTCAAGACCAGCATGGACAACATGGTGAAACCCCATCTGTACTAAAAAGACAAAAATTATCTGGGTGAGGTGGCACATGCCTGTAATCTCAGCTACTCAGAAGGATGAGGCAGAAGAATCACCTGAACTCGGGAAGCAGAGGTTGCAGTAAGCTGAGATCACGTCACTGCACTCCAACCTGGGTGACAAAGAGAGACTCTGTCTCAAATAATAATAATAATAATAATAATACCATCAGTATGGTAAATTCTGATTACTTAAGTTTATTCCCCATTTACAGCCTGTGGCCAAGTAAAATTTGTGTGTGCATTCTCTGATATTTAGCATTACCTGATGAAACAAGTTTATATGGAAAAGTTCATTTTTACTGAAAATTAAAATTGTGGAAAAAAATCAAATTGGCCTTTCCATGACAAAAAGTAAGTCTGACTTGGCTAATTACTTTATCAATGAGGACCGATTTTTCCAGTTAGATTATGTGGCAAACATATTACTTAAATTGAATAAGCTAAATGTGAAGTTCCAAGATATAAGATTATAAGATATTGATAAAGAGGTAATAAAATTGACAATATTTTAATTTTATCAACCTTCCTGATAATATTAGGTTAAACAGCAATGCCTACCTCTACAAAAGTGAAAAATAAGAATAGAATTTATACCAAACCCTCTCATTTCTAACAATAAATAATATTTATCCATAGCTATTAAGCCAATTGAGAGAAAAGTTTCATTTATCTAATGAGAAGATAATTTTTAAATAATTTTTTTACATTTAATAACTTTATAAATATATATTGTTGTCAATAGTATACTGTTAATAATATTTGTAATGATACCTAAATTGACATATCATTTGATACTTTGAATCTTATAATCAAAAAATTTTAAAATATTTCATTTTCAATGTATGTAGATATTTTTGTTCATCAAAGTATAATAAGGTGATCAACAGAAAAGATTCAAGCATAAATATGCAAAAGGAAAGTAGAATGGAAATATGAATTCATTGAGGAAAAGAAATAATACGTAATCTGTCATTAAGAGCTTATTTGAAGCAGGGAGCAGTGGCTCATGCCTGTAATCCCAGGGGAGGCTGAGGCAGGGGTCATTTGATGTCAGGAGTTCGAGACCAGTCTGGCCAACATGGTGAAACCTGTCTCTACTAAACATACAAAAATTAGCCAAGCGTGGTGGCATGCACCTGTAATCCTAGCTACTCAGGAGGCTGAGTTATGAGAATCGCTTGAACTGGGTAGGAGGAGGTTGCAGTGAGCCAAGATAGTGTCACTGCACTCCAGCCTGGGAGACAAGTGAGACTCCATCTCAAAAAAAAAAAAAAAAAAAAAAAAGAGCTTATTTAAACATTTTAAAAATTGATTTCTGTGATATTTGGAGTCTGCTAATATAAGTTTGATGCAACAGTTTTATTTTAAAATGTCAATATTTAAATATTTTATAAGTAATAGATTGTCATCTTTTTAAAATGTATGATAAAAATTTTAGATGCCAATTTTTAAAATGTGTCAGAGGGGTATATAGTTTTTCTGAAGCAAGAGGGGATGTAAGCAAAATTTTAGGAAATCACTGAAATATCTCTAAGAATAAAGTTAGTGTTTTTAAAAAATTCAGAATTTTGGAACACATTGAATTCTCACACAAAGTTTTGTGATGTTAGTTTCAAGTCAAATCAGTCAGCCTATTATATAACTCTTTTTACAGGTGTGCTGGCAAGGAGAAGATAAATTGTGAGTCCAATAATGGTTAGAATTGTATCCTGGAGTGAGAGAAGATCCAGGGAGTTGGCATAATTTTAGTCAATGTGGTTTTAATGACGGCTTGTGAATTCTAACATGAACAAGAAGTAAAGTAAAAAGAGCAGAGGAGTAATGGACAATAAAAGGGACAGAGTCAATGGACTGGAGGTTTCAGTGATGCTACTGAACCGAAGGAGGTTGTCACTGGATGGTGAGATGTGAGACGTGAGATGTCTGAAATCAAGATTTTAGAGAGGATGATAAGAGCTGTAAAGTGAAGTTGAGTATGAATGCTAAAATGGAGGAAAGGAAAGAGTTGTTAGAATCAAGGAGATCAAGGAACTCTGAGTATGGGCAAATAAAGGAACTAAATATGAATTCATCCTCTCACGACTTACACAGCACATTGATTATCTTAAGCAATTTATTCTTTCAACTGAAGTTACATAAATACCTACTTGCCCTTCCTCCTTTCTTCATCCCTTTAATTCATATCCCTACACATCTAGTACAATGCTCACTGTAAGTGTTTGGTTTCTATTGCTGAACTGGGTTGAATTTTTACTTTTTCATGTATGGTAATTCCACTAACAGAATTCTCGGAAAACCAGAGAATGTTTCCTTCATTCCATAAATATTAATACCTCCTTACCTGCATCCCAGTAGTCCTGTAGTTGTAAACGGTCCCTTTCAACTGGACCTGTTCTCCTCGTACAACAGAATATGGTATATTCATTTCCAGGAAGACATCTTTGAACACCTTTGCCTTAAGAGTATCAGCAACACATATACCTTCAGCCCAAAGTGGAAGCAAAGTAGAATTATATTAGGAAATCCCTATAATGCTTTATTGGTATTAAAATTTCTCACACTTGGCTTACTTCAAGGAAAAAAAGAATATGAGATCATATTTTTCTCTGCACTCTCACCTCATGCCCTTGAATTTTCTATTCATTGATCTTAATTTCAATGATAATTAGTATTAACAGAAAACTTCATTTGTTCAATAAATATTTAATTCTATTCAAGGCATGAGAATGTTTATCACCTAAAGCACCAAATCTTTTTAGATATTTGTTATTGGTTCCATTTTTAATGGGTATAAAATTTTAATTGTGGAAACCAAGATTTTAAAACAAAAGTAGCAAACAAACAAACAAAACCATCCCTGAAGTTATTTAGAAAGCATCTGTACTTAATCATCACAAAGATCAGCCCAAGAGAGGTCATTTATTTGTTTCTAACTTTACACAAAATCCCAGTCAGTAAAAAAAGTGAAGGAAAATAAAGACTTGAGGCTGAGTGCAGTGGTTCAAGCTGTAATTCCAGCACTTTGGAAGGTGGAGGTGGGAAGATTGCTCGAAACCAGGAGTTTGAGACCAGCCTGGACAACATAGTGAGACCCCTTCTTCATTTACAAAAAAGAAAACAAAGGGGGAAAAGAAAAGAGGAGCAAAAGGAGAAATCAGTATGTTCAAAGATATGGATATACCCAAGTCTTTTGTAATACATAAAAAATATATATTTTTAAAAAATTGCTACCATTTAAGTCCTGGGTAAACTAAATGTATAATGAAAGAGAATTACATCTTGCTAATGAAATTATTCTTTAAATGCATATGTAACTTAAGCCTGCTTACCACTATCTGAAATGCCAACACCTTGAATTTCCCACGTAGTTAGAGAATCAGGTAGGGCAAACTGCAACTGTTTTCTGGAAGTTAAAATGTTGATATTTAAATACAGTAGAATATTGATTAACCCAACTTGAAAGAGACATCCATTAACAGAATTATTGCTTCAAACTACTTTAGAAGAAAGAAAAAAATTCACAAGATGAAATCACGTCAGGTATTAAGGAAAATCTCATCAAGAAAAAAAATTCAGTAACTCTGGTATATATTGCATGTTTTTAGACATTGCACCTCTATGATGAGAATTCAAATTCAGAAGGATGCCTATGAAACATTGCAAAATCCAAGCATATAAAACAAAGAGAAAATTATGTTCATTGTCAGTATATTCTAAAATAGGGAAGCACAGTGATGAATGTTAGCACTCCTCAAAACAAAGCTGACATAACTAAAAACTTCTGATTATGATTAAGCTTGTATATTTATTTACAGCTGTTGTCTACCAACTTTGTATTGCGTATAGTGCTGAGTACTGAGTAAACAGCACTGAAAAGATATAGTCCCACTCTCAGGCAGTTTACAATCTAGTGGAAGAAACAGTTAAGTAAATAAATTACACTGCACTGTAATAGTGTACCAGTAAGGCATTATAAGAGTTCAGAGGCAGTGGGCATTCATTCAACACAAAAACAGTAATCTGAATTTAGTTCACACCCTCAAGGTATTTACATTTTAATTAATCTAATCACTGGTAGGGTGGGTAGCAGTGGCCAGAAGGTTTACTAGAGGACATACTAGCTAATGAATAATGTCAGATGAAATGGACACCAATTGTGTGGAAGAAAGATTAGAAAAGACAAGGGTAGAAACAAGGAGATGCATGAGGAAACACCTGCAGGGCTCTGAAGGCATTCCTTGTCTTCTCATTGGAAAACCGGTGCTTTAAGTGCACCTAAGAAGAATATGGGTTGAGGACTCAGTACATGACTCTTTTCAGTGGTACAGAGGAAGTGTTTTCTTAAAACATGTTGAATAAAAAACTTAAAAAGAAAAGACCTTTATTCTTGCTTATCAATGTTTGTTTTATAGTATAAGATATTTTAGGATAAAAATAGCTGCTTAATATAGTGTATAGCACATGGTTGTATGTACTAAATGCATACTGAAGTGAAATGAAATTAAGTGGAATAGTACCCTTCTTCATTCTGCCCTGGAGCCAATCACCGGTGCAATGTACATTAAAATAATAAAAATTTAAAAAGGCAAAGCAAAACAAAACAAAATCTTATCAAGTTGCAGGATCATCTTAACTTTAGCAAGCTATTGACAAATGGGTAGTTTCCAGATTTTTGGCCATAATACTTGCATTATCCACATTTATTTCAAGGACACATGAAAGAAGTATAATACCTTCTGGGAACATGATGAACTTCCCATAACCAACTTTCTGGAAAATAACTTCGAATTTCTGGCTTGCTTACTGGTAACAGGATCTTCATGTCTGGGCAAAAAAAAAAAAAAAATCATATTTAATTATGAAAAAACAATATAAATTCTACTTATAGCTGAACTTAAAAATATGGCCATTAATCTGTAACTTAAGCATTTTCTTATAGGTAAATAAACTACTTTGTTCAATGCTTTCAAAATAGAACCATAAGCAGGGTGCACTGGCTCATGCCAATAATCTCAGCACTTTGGGAGGCCAAGGTGGGCAGATCATCTGAGGTCAGGAATTTGAGACCAGCCTGGCCAACCTAGTGAAATCCTGTCTCTACTAAAAACACAAAAATTAACTGGGCATGGTGGCGGGTGCCTGTAGTCCCAACTACTGAGGAGGCTGAGGCATGATAATCACTTTAACTTAAAGTAGAGGTTGCAGTGAGCCGAGATTACACCACTGCACTCCTGCCTGGGTGACAAAGTGAGACTCTGTCTCAAAAAAACAAAAGCAAAAACAAAAAAACTATAAAAGCTTAGGATTTTTCCACTAATAGCATTGGCAAAACAAAGTATCAAAATATCTTTAATGATTTGTTTCTTAAATTGCTAAATGTTTAGCATTCCTGAGATTATACAAGATATTGATCAATCTATAGTTATTTGCACTTATATAATTGTAATAATTGTGTTTATATTAGAAAAAAGAGAAGCTTTATATGACTCTCTGCCTTCCTTAACTTGGTAATTTGTTCATTTGAATAAAAATGGACAGGACTTCTGTTTTTATCTAAGATGCATTAATAGAAAACTAAACATGATATACAAAACAACAGTTTTCAGACATTAGAGCATAAGCAGGACTGTGATCTCTGAGAGAAAGGAAACAATTAGGTGAAACCTAAAATTGCCCCAGCTTACTGCCTAGAGGCAGTTTACAGACTAGGGCAGGGAAAGGAATCCAAGTAGAGCCTGATGATTTTGAAGGCTTGTGGCAGCACAGATGGGAGTTTTGCAAGGCCAAGTTGTCTGGAATGAGGGGCAGAGTTCCAGTTCTATCCAGCTGAAGCCAAGCCAGATGATTACTGGACCCCTTCCTGACACCTTACACTAAAATTAACACCAGATAGATTAAAGACTTAAACATAAGACCTAACACCATAAAAACCCTAGAAGAAAACCTAGGCAAAACCATTCAAGACATAGGCATAGGCAAGGACTTCATGACTAAAACACCAAAAGCATTGGCAACAAAAGCCAAAATATACAAATGGGACCTAATTAAACTCCAGAGCTGCTGTAGAGCAAAAGAAACAATCATTAGAGTGAACCAGCAACCAACAGAATGGGAAAAAATTTTTGCAATCTACCCATCTGACAAAGGGCTAATATCCAGAATCTACAAAGAACTAAAACAGATTTACAAGAAAAAAACAAACAAACCCATCCGAAAGTGGACGAAGGATATGAACAGACACTTTTCAAAACAAGACATATATGAGGGCAACACACATAGGAAAAAATGCTCATGATCACTGATTATTAGAGAAATGCAAATCAAACCACATCGAGATACCACCTCATGCCAGCTAGAGTAGCAATCGTTAAAAAATCTGAAGACAACAGATGCTGGAGAGGATGTGGAGAAATAGAAACTTTTACACCATTGATGGGAGTATAAACTAGTTCAACTATTGTGGAAGACAGTGTGGCCCTTCCTCAAGGACCTAGAAATAGAAATTCCATTTGACCCAGCAATCCCATTACTGGGTATATACCCAAAGGATTACAAATCATTCTATTATAAAGACACATGCACATGTATATTCATAGTGGCACTGTTTACAATAGCAAAGACCTGGAACCAACACAAATGCCGATCGATGATAGACTGGACAGGGAAAATGTGGCACATATATGCCATGGAATACTATTTAGCCATAAAAAATGATAAGTTTGTGTCTTTGTAGGGACATAGATGAATCTGGAAACCATAATTCTCAGCAAACTGACACAAGAACAGAAAATCAGACACCACATGTTCTCACTCATAGGTGGGTGATGAACAATGAGAACACATGGACACAAGATGGGGAGCATCACACACTGGGGTCTGTTGTGGGGGCCCAAGGGAGGGACAGTGAGGGGGTGCGGAGGTCAGGGAGGGATAACATGGGGAGAAATGCCAGCTGTAGGTGACAGGGGGATGGAGGCAGCAAACCACATTGCCATGTGTGTACCTATGCAACAATACTGCATGATCTGCATATGTACCCCAGAACCTAAAGTACAATTTTTAAAAATGAGAAAATATATGAGATGACAGAGCAAGATGGCTGAATAGAAGCCTATACCATTTGTCTTTCTGGTTGGTACCCTAAATTTTAATAACTAACTACACACAAAAAGCACCATCATGAGAATCAAAAATCAGGTGAGCAATCACAATACCTGGTTTTGACTTTACATCACTGAAAGAGACATTGAAGAGGGCAGGAAAGATAGTCTTGAAGCACTGATGCCACTCCTCCCCCATCCCCTAGCAGTGGCTGTGCAGTGTGGAGAACCTATATATTGTGAAAGCAAGAGTGCAGTGATTCTGTGGTTTTGCACTGAACTCAGTGAAAACTCTGCATTGTCACAGTGGAAAGCAGAACCAGGCTGTACTCAGCTGATGTCTGCCCATGGAGGGAGCATTTGGACTGGCCCTAGCCAGAGGGGAATCACCCATCCTAGTGGTTGGAGCTTGAGTTTCAGCTAGCTGCCCCACCATGGACTGAAGTGTTCTGGGGCTCTAGGTGAATTTGAGGGGCAGTCTAGGCCACAAGGACTGCAATTTCTAGGCCAGTCCTAGAAGTCCTAGCCAGAACCATTAGACAAGAGAAGGAAATAAAGGTCATCCAAACTAGAAAGGAAGAAGTCAAATGATCCTTGTATGCGTATATTTGGAAAAACCTGAAGCCTCCACACACACAAAAAAAACCTATAGAACTACTAAATGAATTCTGTAAAGTTGCAGGATAGAAAATCAATACACAAAAATCAGTAGCATTTCTATACGTCAATAGTGAACAATGTGAAAAAGAAATTTTAAAAGTAATCTCATTTACAATAGACACAAATAAAATTAAATACCTAGGAACTAACTTAACCAAAGAAGTGAAAGATTTCTACAACAAAAACTATAAAACACCAGTGAAAGAAATTCAAGAGGACACACACACACAAAATAAATTTATTCCATAATCCTGGATTAAAAGAATCAATATTGTTAAAATGTCCATACTACCCAAAGCAATCTCAATTCAATGCAATCTCTATGAAAATACCAACAACATTCTTCACAGAAATCGGGAAAAAATCCTAAAATTCATATGAAACTACAAAAGACCAGAATAGCCAAAGCAATTCTGAGCAAAAAGAAAAAAACCTGGAGGAATCACATTACCTGACTTCAAATCATACTATAGAGCTACAGTAACAAAAACAGCATGGTACTGGCATAAAAGCAGACATATAGACCTGCGGAACAGAATAGAGAACCCAGAAACAAATCCATACACTTATAGTGAACTCATTTTTTTACAAAGGTGCCAAGAACATTGGCACCTTGGAGAAAGGACATTCTCTTCAATTAATGGTGCTGGGAAAACTGGATATCCATATGCAGAAGAATGAAATGTGACCCTTATCTCTCTCCATACACAAAACTCAAATAAAAGTGGATTAACAAATTAACTGTAGACCTCAAACTATAAAATTGCCACAGGAAACCAATGGGAAAACACTCCAGGACATTGGTAGGGCCAAAAGTTTCTTGAATAATACCCCACTAGCACAGACAACCAAAGCCAAAATGGACAAATGGGATCACATCAAGTTAAAGAGCTTCTGTACAGCAAAGGAAACAACAAATAAAGGAGACAACCAATAGAATGGGAGAAACTATTTGCAACTACCCATCTGACAAGAGATTAATAACCAGAATATATTAAAAGTTCAAACAACCCTACAGGAAAAAATGTAATAATCCCATTTAAAAATGAGCAAAAGATTTGGATAGACATTTCTCTAAAGAAGACATACAAATGGCAAGAAGGCAGGTAAAAAGTGCTCAACATCAGTAGTCAACAGAGAAATGCAATCAAAATGACAACGAAATATCATCTCATCTCAGTTAAAATGGCTTTTATTCAAAAGACAGGCAACAACAAATGCTGGAGGGGATTGGAGAAAAGGGAACCCTTGTACACTGTTGGTGGGACTGTTAATTACTATAACCACTATGGAGAACAGTTTGGAGTTTCCTCAAAAAACAAAGAACAGACCTACCAAATGATCTGGCAATCCCACTGCTGGGTATATACTCAAAAGAAAGAAAATCAGTACTTTGAAGCCATTATCTGCACTCCCATGTTTGTTGCAGCATTGTTAAAAATAGTCAGGATTTGGAAGCAACCAGATGTCCACCAACAGATGAATGGATAAAGAAAATGTGGCCATACTCAGCCATAAAAAGAATGAGATCCTGTCATTTGCAACAATATGGATGGAACTGGAGGTTGTTATGTTAAGTGAAATAAGTTAGGCACAGAAAGACAAAATTTGCATGTTCTCACTTATTTGTAGGTGTTAAAAATCAAAACAATTTAACTCACAGAGATAGAGACTGGAAGGCTGGGAAAGGTAGTAGGAAGACGTGGGGAATGTGGGATGGTTTACGGGTACAAAAAATAGAAAGAATAAGACTTAGTACTTGATAGTACAACAGGGTAACCATAGTCAATAATAATTTCATTGTACATTTAAAAATAACTAAAAGAGTATAATTAGATTGTTTATAATACAAAGGAGGAATACCTCAAGGGATACCCCATTTTCCATGATGTGACTATTACTTATTGCATGCCTGTATCAAAAGTATCTCATGTACTTCACAAATATACATACATACCTATTGTTTACCCACAAAAATTTAAAAATTAAAAAAAAATTTTTAAGAGAAAAAAAAAGCCAAGTCCTCTTTCCAAAAAGAAAACCAACATATGGACTAGGCTGTTTATTAAAATTCTGCTTATCATAATCAAATATTATTAGCCAGGCATGGTAGCAGGTGCCTATAATCTTAGCTACTTCAGAGGCTGAGGCAGGAGAATCTCTTGAACCTGGGAGGTGGAGGTTGCAGTGAGCTGAGACTGTGCCATTGCAACAAGAAAGAAACTTCATTTCTCAATACAAAAAAAGAAAAAAAAAAACAAAAAACAAACAAACCAATATTGGAAAACAATCTGAATCTCATACATCGTACATCTCAATGAATATATTTCTATAAACATAAATTTTATGGCCATTTACCAAAATGATGGCTATTAGATATTGCTTAACAATAGGGTTATGTTCTGAGAAACGTGTTGTTAGGTGATTTTGTTGTTGTGAACATCATAGAGTGTACTTACACTAATCTAGATGGTATAACTTACTACACATCTAGACTACATAATACAGCCTATTACTCCTAGGCTACACACCTGTACAGCATGTTACTGAACTGAATACTGCAGACAACCGTAACACAATGGTATGCATTTGTGTATCTAAGCATATCTAAACACAGAAAAGGTACAGCAAAAATATGGTATTATAATCCTCTAGGACCACTGTCACATATGTGGTTCATCATTGATGAAAATGTCATTACGTGGCACACATATGTATAAAACAGAAACTGTCATTTTGCTTTTGTTTGTTTAGTTACAGACTATACATAGGCCGGGCGCAGAGGCTCATGCCTGTAATCCTAGTACTTTGGGAGGCTGAGGCAGGCAGATCACCTGAGGTCAGGAGTTTGGGACCAGCCTGGCCAGCATGGTGAAACCCTGTCTCTAATAAAAATACAAAAATTAGCCAGGTGTGGTGATGGGTGTCTTTAATCCCAGCTACTAGGGAGGCTGGGGCAGGAGAATCATTTGAACCTGGAGGCAGAGGTTGCAGTGAGCCAAGATTGTACCACTGCACTTCAGCCTGGGCAACAGAGCCAAATTCCATCTCAAAAATGGAAACATGTATTGTGGTTGAAACTGAAATAACACATCAACTTTTATCTGAGTACATTTAACATTAGGCTAGATTTAGAAATCTTCTCCTATGTTTCGTCAATGTAGGTATAAACAGAATTTTTTTTTTTTTTTTAAGATGGGGTTTCACCATGTTGATCAGGCTGGTCTTGAACTCCCCACCTCAGGTGATCCGCCCGCCTTGGCCTCCAAAGTGCTTGGATTACAGGCGTGAGCCACCACATCCAACCATAGACAGAATTTTTAATGGTTGTAATATCACAGAAGCATAGAATTGTAGAACTCACAGGTATATTGAAGAGGATCTGGTCAAAGCTCCTTCCTTGCTTGAGGCTCAGAGAAGATAAATAATCATTCAAGTTTATGGGATGACTTGGCTTTAAGGTTATGCCAGGTCTTAACTCTGGCCTAGTGTACTCTGCTCTGTACTATACCTCTTCTGATGCCCAAAAATGATTTTTTTTTTCTTATGGACATTTACAAGTTATCTTTTCTACTTTCAATTCTAAATCGATCATGAAAACTGCCTTTCTTAGAAGCATCAAATTACACAAAATTCCCCATATTGAGCAGAATTCTGATAGAAAACGTCATACTTACCTAGCCTTCCCAATGAAATGGGTTTATAAGTGCTATTATCACGGTGCCGGTTTGCCTCAACACAGCATTCGGTGAAAGCTTTGACGCATCTTGGGCCTAAGGTAATCCGTGCAGCTCGCTGCTCACAGGTTTCATCATGGTTAGCATAGGCTCCATGGTAACAACATTTCTTCACTACTGAATGTTTGTATTTAGCAGCTGAAATGGTAATAACGCAAGTGTCCTTGACCATGCAGAGTCATAGCGTATCAGGCTTAGAAGGAATCTCAAGGGATATCTGGTTTCTATTGCTAGATGATCCCCCTACCCACAATAGTCATGGCTAGATGACTGTCCAGACTTCCCTTGAAGCTATTCTAAGAATGGAGAGAATGTGACCTTACCAAATGGTCCACTCCAGCTCACACTAAATAGTTAAAGGGTTTCCTGCAACCAAGCTAAATACTAACTCTTTTTTATTTTATTTTATTTTTTTTTCAGATGGAGTCTTGCTGTTTCCCAGGCTGGAGTGCAGTGGCGTGATCTTGACTCACTGCAACCTCCGCCTCCCTGGTTCATGCAATTCTCTTGCCTCAGCCTCCTGCGTAGCTGGGATTACAGGCGCACGCCAACACGCCCGGGCAATTTTTGTATTTTTAGTAGAGATGGAGTTTCACCATATTGGCCAGGCTGATCTCAAAACTCCTGACCTCGTAATCTGCCCACCTCAGCTTCTCAAAGTGCTGGGATTACAGGTGTGAGCCACCACGCCCAGCAGATACTAACTCTTGAAACTGGCACTTTGGGTTCTGCTGAAAATAAGCAGAAAAATATAGACAAAGAATAAAAATATTTTTAATAAAATAAGTTAACTATTCAAGAAGCCTTCAAATATTTGAAGATGGCTATATCACTATATAAATATTTCCTTCTTCAAGCTGAATATCCTATTTTTCAGCAACGTCTTACATAACATGGTTTGCGGACTTTACTAGTAGCATCATCCTTCATTGTAAGTGCTCAGATTAGTCACTGTCTCTCTTTACATATCATTAGATCTTAGAATAAAGGTTAGAATTAAAATAACTCATATACAAATGGAATAAATTATTATATTACTATAAACATGATATTAGTTGAATGCAATTTTCTGACTCCCAGTTTAATATTCTTTCTACTGTAACATGGTCAATATCATAACCACTTAAATAATTATTTTAAAATAATTCCCACAAGATTTATTTTCAAAGTATAATGCTACTAACAGTTAAATGTATGAAATAGAACTAATGGACTTCTAGGTATGTCGCCAAAACAGTCAAATCATAGATTTTGTCAGAATAAAATGGAAGAATATAATTTTAATTGCTAGATTAAGTTTTTAGGGAGAAAATATTTATGACAAATAAAAGCTAATATTTTGAGTTTTAGAGCTAGAAGTAATAAAGACCTATTTCCTTAGGTTAAGGCTATGGTAAATGAACTACTAGATTTTATTTGGATTAATCTTTCTGAGAGAGATGAGCTAGACCTCCATATATATCTTTCTTTTCATCCATTCTATTTTAATTAGAGGAATTTATATAACATGTAATTTTGTCCAGTTTTTGAATGATATGACCATAACCTTTTTTACAATCACATGAATCTAAGAGTACCTATTTCATCTATCTTCTGCAGCATCCTTCTTGGCCTGAGAATTTCTTTACAAGGTGCATCTGGTTTAAAAAAGAGAGAGAGAAAGAGAAAGAAAGAAAAAGAATAAAAAGTAGTTAACATCTCAAAAAAAATTTCAGGAAACTAAGTATTTAAAACATTCACAAGTCATTAATTAACAAATACTGAGAGGCTGCTTTGGATTAGGAACTGTGCACCATACTTCTTAATATGACTTGTTTTATCTTAGTAGAGTTCATGATCTAGTGTCATATCATTTGACTTGTTTTATCTGAATTTGGTTTTGAATCCTGCAGTCTTTCTGGTTGACTGATTCCAGAGAAATACCTAAGCATTTAGAATGACTGATGCTTTTGCTGGGTATGCCATTTTTTATTATTTGCTCTTTGTGTTATAGTATTACAAATATAAGTATGAATATCATAGTATCAAACATAATTATGAGTAATTTTAAAACCATAGGAAGAAGATGATTAAGATGTGGTTACTATCCTTAAAGAGGTCCCTATGCAGTAGGTGAGACAAGACTTATAAATACATGTAAGAATGTGCAATGACACAGTGCTGTTATATTACTTGCAAATAGATCTAGTCCCTGCAATAGACTCACTATTAAAGGAGGAGAAAATGATAAATTCTAAGTTGGGAAGAGGTCTCATAGAGGGGATGATTCTTACATTTGCTTCTCCAAGCTAATGAAGGGGAAAGCAATCCAAATAAATAAAGGCCCAAAGGTGCAAAATAGCAACTCAAGAACTCCACTTGGTTCTGTAGATCTTAAACATAACATAAGGCACAGCAGGGTAAGAGCTAGTTGGAGAGAGCCAAGGAGAAGATCATGGAAGGCTTTGAATACTACACTAAAGAATTTGTACTTTATCTTGAAGGTCAGTGAAACACTTTATACAGGTGAGTTATGCAGTTCTGGCATTCTAAGATCAGGGTAGAGAATATTCTGAAAGAGGGACAAAAATAAGATCTGGAAGGCAAATGATCAATGTGATTTTCAGTAATAAATGTGCTGAGCGTTATACCATTTTCTTGGGAGTCATCTGCATTTGCGTTAGTGAGGAAGGTAAGTCCAGCTAGGTGGAACACGTCTGCATTGTTGAGGCCACCACCTGCCCCACAGCCCAGATCACTCTTCTCTAAATATTGAAATACCTGTCCAGAAAGGCAAAATGTTGAGCCTATTAAGATGTATACATCATTCCTCTAAAGAACTAAAAGGTACTAGTTGTTACATGGTTATCACAAACCAGTGAAATACACAGATGGTATTTTTCAAATGATCAAAGACAAAATTTCCCAACTTTGTTTCTAAACTTGTCCTTTTGTATTTATAAATACATACCTATACAAAATTAAATCAAGAACTAAGTCTTAGACAAATAGCTTAGAAACTGACCTATAGTGTTTTGTACATAGAATGAATGCTACAATCAGCATAATGTTCCAAATAAATAAATAATAAGTATGAATGCATGAAGGACTGGATAAACAATGAAATTAATTTAAGTTGCTTAAAAAGCACAACTTTGTGCATTTTGGTAGGGAGGTCTCTAGGTTCTAAATGGGTGAGGACTTGTTTGGGTAGTCTTATTCTTTTTAATTTTGACCCCAAATCTTTTCTCAACAAATATTTTTTAATTTTACAGTTTCTCAGTCCTTCCTTCCTTCCTTATTCAAAGAAATTTAAGACTAGAAAATAATAGCTGAACATTATGAAGATAAATGGGAACTTATGAGAACTGAATGATTTTGAAATTCTTCTGTACCATGGATTTCAATGAGAGTTTAAAAAAATCCAAATGTTACCTATCCAGTTCTTTTCTGTGCTGCTACTAGCTAGTATAACCACCATCACCACCCTACCTTAAACCTCCACAAGTATTCTGATAGTAATTTTTCCTCCATGAATGTATTGGATGCCATGATCATATATTCTTAAAGTGTTTACATTTACATTTGAAAAACAGGAGAGGATTGACCTGGGCTTTGGGAGCTAACATGAGGATGGCTTACCTTTCTAAAAGCAAGTATGATGAGTAGATAATAGAAAAGCAGGCCTAGTCTTCCTTAGGTCTTCCCCCATATCCTAGCCTGGTCACCACACTATATGCAGCACTGCAGTGAGACATGCATTACTTAACTCTTTCCAAGGGCTTTTTGGCTCTGCTTTGGACTCCATACACAGCACTGTCCACTGCTGTTAATGCCACCCAGGAATCCATCCTAGTTGCCATATCAAGAGACACAGTTTGGCCTGGAGAATATGCATCTGAATCAGGAGACAGATGAATCTAAAAGTTCATTTGAAGAAAAAAAGATCATTTGTATGAGACAAGACTTTTCAGAGGCAGCTAAGACTTTGGCAGCCTCCTTCACTGAAAAGAAAATTCATTTGTGGCTTATAATTTGTGGCTTACCTGGAGCTGGTTGCCACATTTTTCTTCAATATTTAACCAGACTGAGTCAGACACTAATTCTGCTGTCTGCTCTCCTGTGACGATGTAATAGACCAGGAGTCGGGATGAAGGAACCATGCTCTGTGTTACTGGAATGTTTATACTTTGATAAGATGCATCTGAAAATTTCTCCCTTGTGCCAAAGTATATGATTTTGCCCTTGGATAAAATCTAAAAATAAACAGCAGCAGTAACAATAAGTAAAAGACAAACAAAAACAAAACCTGTGCTTTAGGATGGAGCCTAGAGCTGGAGCAGAAGTTATGTTAAGGAAAAATAAAGTTAGGCCAGGTGCAGTGGCTCACACCTGTAATCCTAGCACTTTGGAAGGCCGAAGTGGGCAGATCACTTGAGGCCAGGAGTTCGAAGCAAGCCTGGCCAACATAACAAAACCCCATCTCTACTAAAAATACCAAAGTTAGCCAGGTGTGGTGGTGCACGTCTATAATCCCAGCTACTTGGGAGGCTGAGGCTGAGAATTGCTGAAGCCCGAGAGGTGGAGGTTGCAGTGAGTTGAGATCATGCCATTGCACGTCATCCTGGGCAACAGAGCAAGACTCTGTCTCAGACAAATAAACAAAAACCAATTTTGTCTGGGTGCGGTGGCTTACTAATCCCAGCGCTTTGGGAGGCCGAGGCATGTGAATCACCTGAGGTCAGGAGTTCGAGGCCACCCTGGCCAACATGGTGAAACCCCATCTCTATTAAAAATACAAAAATTAGCCTGGTGTGGTGGTGAGTGCCTGTACTCTCAGCTACTCTGGAGGCGAGGCAGGAGAATTGCTTGAACTGGGGAGATGGAGGTTGTAGTGAGCCAAGATGGTGCCACTGCACTTAAGCCTGGGTGTTAGAGTGAGACCCCACCAAACAAAGGGAAGGGAAGAAGGGGAGGGGAGTGGAGGAAGGAAAAGTGAACATGTATGGGCCTACTATGTGCCAGGAAATTTAACATTTATTTAACTCCTTTCATTCTCACAATACACCGCTAAGATAAGAATATTAGTCTCACTGAAGAAACCGAGGCTCAGGAACTAACTAAAAGTCATACTGATTTTAATTCAAAATCACACAACTAGCAAATTAGAGAGCTAAAAGTTGAACCCAAAAACTGTTTAAGGTCATCACACTGTCACTAAAATCTCTTTTATTTCACTGATTAAAAAAAAAATAGATGAATAAGTGGAGTGCATCTTATTTGGGGATTAAGTTTAAAACCCAGGGATTAGATTCTAAATGGAAGGTTTAAGATTTTTTTAAAAAAAATCACATAAAGCCAAAATGCCCTCAAAAATACCTTAAATTGTCCTGAGAGACCAGGACTGCATACATGGGTTTGGTGTATAGTCCATAAACTGTTTCTCTTCATCAGTCAATATTTTTCTGTGGTCCTCATTACTGTTTTTTCAATTTCTTCCTTAAAAATGTTGAAAAGCCAACACTGTGTATGTGGCGTGGCCATCAAAATAATTAATCCCATTTCTTTGGTGATTGTCAGGAAGCTCTTAATATTTTTTGCAATTCTTTTTCCTCGGTTTCACCAGCAGGCTTGATTGATCCACCTCTGTTTATTAAATGATGCAATACGGATGTTGCTGAACTATAGAATTGGAACAGGCAAGATAGGACTCAACTCTCGGGAGAGGACTTCACTTCTCCCTTTTTTGACAATAAAATGCACTTACCTGAACTGGGTCTAGGCATGTATTTTTGGCTATGAAAGAGAGCAGAGGCAACATGATTTAATCAGGTTCTGTCTTCGAATAACAAGGCTCTCTTTTGGTAAAAAGAGTTACTAGAACAGGAGTCAGAGTCCTCAGCTCAAATGAAAATCTTCCTCTTCCCAGCTAAGTGACCATCATAAGTCTTTTAACTTCTCTGTCTCTCAGTTTCCTCATCTGTGAAACAGTCATGAAAATCAAGCCCTATTTCGAAGGTTTTTTGAGAAACTGATATTCAAGTTAGATGATGTTCTCAAAAGTGCTTTGTAAATACAAGTATAAAGAATCATTCTAATGCTTCTCTAGAGGTAAAGGAAAATGTTCCAGCTGGGGGAATAAGATGTAAATCCATCATTATGTACTTACCAAGTAATTATAGTGAGTTATTTTGTCAATATATGGGCTTTTGGGGGTAACAATAATATTCAGATGTTCTCCCACTAGCAAAGCCTTGTGGTTATCAGTCCAATCGATATAAAGGTAACTTTGGCTGAGAGATGAATATGCTACTGCTCGGTAACTTTCCCTGGCCTGATTTCCTTCTGGAAGATCTGGAGCATCAGTTTCGACCTGAAAAAGGAAATTTCAAAAAGACACAGTGTACTGTGATGTAATACTTTCTACAAAACATACCTTTGAAATTATTTTCTTTGCTTTATAAATTTCTAAATTTACACAATACCAAATGCTAAAGGGGGAAAAAAACCTTCATTACTCCAGTGTTTATACAGCTGTGTTATCAAACAACTTTACAAAGACTGCAGACAAGAATGACGAGATTATGGGCTATGGCAGAAAAGTCTGAAATGAAGAGAGAAAGATGCTCCAGAAATAAATATTGGTGGTCTTCCTGAAATGTGATGGTAAGCTGGGGACTTCTCTTCCCATGGAATGATTACAGAGAGATGTCTAGGTATTTGGGAAATGGGGGTAGGAGAAGGGAAGTAGTGGGGAGGTAGCACTAACTCTTGAGGACTTGGGGACAGGAGCTGTGAATGAACATCTCAGAGACTACCTGGCCCAGTTTCATTGTGAAATAGAGGCACAGATGGGAGCTTATAAACATGAGGTGGAGAAAAAAATGATATCATGGCAGCAATATCTGCCCTCAGACAGCAGAAGTGTTATTAGCTCATGCTCTGGAGTCAGATATACAATGGTTTGCATACCAGTACCACCATTTATTAATTCTGGATAAATTATTTAATCAAAAGAGAGGTTAGAAGCCTCTATTTCCTGAGCCACACAATAGCAAAGATAATATTGTAACTCATCTTGCTAATTAGATGGTTTTTAATGTTTTCTTCATAAAGTTGTTAGCATGATGCCTAGCACTTACTAAGTGCTCAGTAGATGATAGTGAGTATATGCATGCTGCAGTCATTGGCCTGTGTTATTAACTTGCTTATGAGACTGGGAACTTGAATAATAATTTCTGGGAAGACTATTAAGTGAGCTCTAAAGTAAAATGGTTCCTGCAGTTAGAAAAAAGGGAGACTTCCATATTTTTGACCCTTTTGTGGCCCTTCAGGGGATTAAAAGTGAGGGGAAATAAGAGGATATTCCTAACACTCATGTGCACTGCTATACCTATTCTGAAGATTCTAGAGTCTGACATGGTCTTATTGGTGTAAGAGAAAATAATTAACTCCCAAATAAAAAAAAATTGATACATTTATTTCTCAAGGACCATTCAATGGATTAGCAGATTGTCTCTGGAACTCATTTGTCTTGGAAGCAAAATTATGAAACTGTTCACTGGACTCGTGTATAAAATCTGCCGCATCTGTTCTGCACACTAGCCAAAACATACAGTCAAGAGTACACATCGTCCTACAAAATACAACAGGAGAATTCAGCTCACATCAAACTCCAGCACCGTCACGCCAGATGGGAGATTAATCACAAACGAAGCTACTCCATCATCAACACGTGTTACACTTTTCTTTGGCTCCAAGTTAGATGGTTCTTGGTTTACATCGATTGTTTGTGCATTCAGTGTTACTGGGACCCCTCCTACCAACTGGTCAAGCGAATCCTTAACCTGCACCTGTTCATCAAAACAGTCCAAATCTGTTTCAACAGCTCATTACTTCTTTTAAAGCACAACAATTCTGAAATAAGTTTCCTTCCTCCCCGCCAAAGTATAAATTATTTATGCATTTTTTTCTTAAATTTTTTTTTTCTGAGACAGAGATTTACTATATTGCCCAGGTTGGAGTACAGTGACTATTCACAGGCACAATCACAGCGCACTGCAACCTTGAATGATTGGCCTCAAACAATCCTCCCACCTCAGCCTCCCAAGTAGCCGGGACTATATAGGCATGTACCACCACACCTGATTTACTTATGCTTAATTTAGTAAAGAGAAGTGTGTTCACAGCTTACAGAAAGATTTAATTCTATTTCATTAAATCATTCTTGAATGGATTCTCCTATAAATCAAGCAGACTAAAAACATAAATATCATTCTATTAAGTCAGTCAAGAAGCAGATGAGATAAGGTCTTCTGTTATCTAACTTCTGTATTTCTTTAATTAGGAAATAATTTCTTTAATACAGAAATAATTCTGTATTTCTTTAATTTCTTCTGTATTTCTGTAATTTAATTCTTTAATTAATTAGGTTAGGACTGGATAAAGGAGAAAATGAGGCAATCGCTTCTGGGAATAGGTCCCTTGAATATGAGAAACAATAAATAGATACGCCTTTTTTCCTTTAACATCTACCTCCCACTGTCACATATATATATATATATATATATATATATATATGTATATATATATACATATATATATGTACAATTCCATACAGATATAGTTTTTTTATTTTTATATAAAATATATTTAATGTAAAATATTTTATGTATTTTAAGCTTTGTTCTATATAATATTGTTATATGTATATATTTTAAGCTTTGTTCTATATAATATTGTTATATGTATATATTTTGTTACATATTGTTACACATTACTGTATATGTATTATATGATACATTGTTATATATTATTTTATATATATGTATGTAAGAACCTACGAGCATGTCCAAACCTTGCTTTGGGCTTGGTAAATCCTTTTTTTTCCCTTAAAAGCCCATGACCCACAGTAAATAATAAATAACACATTTGATTGTACTTAAGTTGATCTTTAAAAGTAACACATTTTCAAAGAAAAAAAATTTTTTTTGCTCTAGCTTTCTAAATTAAGGACAAGGAATAAAGATTTTCATTTAATAAACATAATGAAATACATTATTTATAATAAAATATATAATACAAAAATAGATAAAAACCACATGAATGTTTCAATTCTATACTATTAGCATTTAGAAGATGAAAAGAAGATGAAGGAGAGAAAAATAAAAGCAGAAGGAGTAAACAAAAAAGAAAAAAGATTCAGGAGCAGACAGAAGCAAAAACGAAAACAGCAATACAGAGACAAGAGATTGAACAGAGTTATGCATAAAGACAACACAGAGACAGAGGGAAACAAATGAAACACACTGGAGGTAAAAAAAAAAAAGTAGTGAGAGAAAGGAGTCTATTTTCAAGGAATGATATCTCCACCTTAACTTAAGGCTTTTTAAGAACTTGCCACCAAATAATTTCAAATGTTTGTATTTTTTGAACTAGAGATTTAGGGGATTTTATTTACATACAATTTAATGCAATGCCTATTTAGGGTTGCCTAATACAAGTCTATCTTGCCCTAACTTTTGAAGTCACTGCCAAGGCTGCAGCTGACCTGCAATTTCCTGTCCCTATCTGTGTCTGCCAGGAGAGGCAGGTTTCACAGAATAAGCTCCTTCTGTGACTTCCCATGCCACATCCTTACCTTGTTTGCCACCCACATGTTTACCATGAACAGAACAAGATGATCATATGTAGCAAGATCTACCCCTTCACCCCATATACCTTGATGGAATATGGAATCCCAGGTTTCAGGAAAAGAGGAGTGGCCACCAAATTCAGTTTGTAGGGAGAGAGGACATATTTGATGCCAGGTATTTCTGCCTCTTCAGAAAACCCACCTAAGGAAATGACAAGCATTGTGTTGACAGTTTTTAGGAGTATCATGATCTGTATCGATATCCATTTTTTTCTCTATATGTCTCCACAGAGTCATTCACTCACTCACTCCCTTCTTGCATTCATTAATTTGCCAGTAGTAAGTGGGACACAGGTCTTGCTTCAGAGGGGCACTGCAGAGAAGAGTTTAGGTATCAGGAGTTTCCAAGGTCTTAAACACAAGCTCGTATGTAGAGAAGCCCTTGGAGAAGTACAGCTATAGGACTGGACTGAGCAAGGATGCCAGGAAGGGACATCCCTTTTCATCAGTGGCCCTAGTTTCAGTTGACTATATTCAAGTGATTGAGGAGAGAGGGAAAAGTCAGGCCAGACAGAGGTGGGGTGGAGTGAGGTGGAGGAGGTGGTGTTCACAGAGCATAAATATATGAAGAGAAATCAGAAAAAGGGAGCTTGATGTAGAAAGAACCCTGAAGGGGAGTTTGAGACAAGCCGGGCCAACATGGTGAAACTCTGTCCCTACTAAAACTATGGAAAAAAAAATAGCCAGGTGTGGTGGCGCATGCCTGTAATCTCAGCTACTTGGTAGGCTGAAGCAGGAGAATCACTTGAACCCAGGAGGTGGAGGTTGCACTGAGCCAAGATTCCGCCACTGCACTCCAACCTGGTGTCAGAGCGAGACTCCATCTCAAAAAAAAAAAAAAAAAAAGAAAAGAAAAGAAAAGGAAAGAAGAAAGGAAAGAATAAAAATGAAAGAACCCTTGAAGGTCTACTAGCCCAATAATGTTACCCTCTAGCTAAAGATTAAGTGAAACTACTAAGAATAACATTTGAAGCTTTAATATCCCCAAACTCCTTTCCAATATTACATCTCTAACACTCTCTATACGTATCCTATGTTTCAGCCAAACTGGATGATCTGCTGTCCTCAAAAATTAAGCTTCACCATCTACCCTTTTGCATCTGCCCTCTCTATGGAGAGTTTCTGTTTCACCCTGTGTGCCAACTCTGCCTCAAAAGCCTACTTATTTTTTTTAAGACTGATCATCTTCACAACACTGTTCTTGGTTGCTCAACAATCATCTCGAAGCTCACCTTCCTCTGAATGCTAGTGCACTAATATTTTGCTTAGAGCTCATATGGAATTCTTTCTTTCAACAGTTTTTTCTTTACCTGTTTTATACCTGATGCTGATTTGTAAGCCACTTTAGTGGTGGGATCATATATCATTCATGTTTGTAAGCCTGGGTGTCTGGCAACACTTTAAATACCTCATAGATACTGCTTAAACTGAACTTATTTGAAATACATTGAGGAAAAAATTAAAAGAAGAAACATGCCGGGCGCGGTGGCTCAAGCCTGTAATCCCAGCACTTTGGGAGGCCGAGGCGGGTGGATCACGAGGTCGAGAGATCGAGACCATCCTGGTCAACATGGTGAAACCCCGTCTCTACCAAAAATACAAAAAAAAAATTAGCTGGGCATGGTGGTGCGTGCCTGTAATCCCAGCTACTCAGGAGGCTGAGGCAGGAGAATTGCCTGAGCCCAGGAGGCGGAGGTTGCGATGAGCCGAGATCGCGCCATTGCACTCCAGCCTGGGTAACAAGGGCGAAACTCCGTCGCAAAAAAAAAAAAAGAAACATTAAAATAATGTTGAAAACTTTAGGCTTTAGGAAACATTCAGTTTTACTCCATCATTGTGTAGACTATAATAATGATAATAGTAATACCTTTTATTTGTATAGTACTTTATCAAATAGTTTTACATACATAATCTTACTTTGGTTTTGACTTTCACCAGGTGAGAACATGGGGGTGCCAAATGGTCAAGGCAGAGAGCGTGCAGAACTACTTAAGATATAAATTGAGTACTGTTTTCTCATTTTTGCGGAAGTGAAAGTAATAGAGACAAAATGGCTTGCCCAATGACCACAAAGAAGCAGAGCTCTACAGCCTTTTTATAATGATATAAAAATCTATTTCTTATATTTAACTACAAAAGAAAATACAATGTGAAATAATTATAGAAATTTAGAAATTATTAATACCTTTAATATTCTGTCTAAATATTTTTCAAAAGAAAGTACATACACACACACACACACACACACACACACACACACACTCTTACCTGTAGACTCTATGACTGTTACAGCAATATAAAGGTACTTGTCTTTTAAATCCTCTAGGCTGTAGTATGACAGCTCTTTGACTGCCATTTCGGAATTAAATGTGACTTGAGCAATTCCATTTATCAACTTTTTAAAAGAAGAAAATGAAAGATTTATTTCAGAGAAGAAATTGTAAGGAAAAATTAACAAAATCTGCTTTTCCTAGCCTGTAAATTAAAGGCAAATGTCAGAGGAATGGTTTAGTGCCATAAGTAAAGTAGAAAACCTAGTCCACAATTAAGCCCAGGATGTTATTTTCTAATTATTTGAATAGAATTATAGAAGTGGAAGACTCTTGAACATCACATGGTCCAACAGGTCTTTTTGGTACTAGCTGACAAACATGCCTTCTTCCAATCCTGAGTCATCATTCATCTTTCTAGGCCTCTCAGTGCACTTCCGCCCTTAACTGAGTTTGTTGGTTTTTATAAGATATAATTTGTACTTCACAGCTTACAAATTTAAATACTAATTTAAAAACACATGACCAGGTGCTGTGGCTCACTCCTGTAATCCCACCACTTTGGGAGGCTGAGGTGGGCAGATCACCCAAGGTCAGGAATTTGAGACCAGCCTGGCCAACATGGTGAAAACCCGTCTCAACTAAAAATAAAAAGTTAGCTAGGTATGGTGGCATGCGCCCGTAGTCCACGTTACTTGGGAGACTGAGGCAGGAGCATTGCTTGAACTTGGGAGGCAGAGGTTGCAGTGAGCTGAGATCGTGCCACTGCACTGCAGCCTGGGTGACAAACTGAGACTCCATCTCAAAACACACACACACGCACACACACACAAAACATACAATGAACAAGGGGATATGGAGTTAAATCATATTACGTTATTTAATTATTAACATAACAATAAATCTTGCCTTATTTTTTCTTATAAAATTGAGTGAGTTGAGGGAAGGCATTTTTGTCTTATTTAGCTTTAAATCCCAGTATCTAGCATAGAATTTTGCATTTAAAAAATGCATTTAATTTATGTCTTGAATTAATAAGACTGTAGAGGATAAATGATTGATGATGCAAACCACATGAATATGCAAAAGTGAGCAAAAATGACATGAACTCATATCATCTGTGGTAGAATGTAAAGCACACTGAATAAAGGAAAGGGAACCAGTGCTCTAATCTCAGTTCCAGCAGTCACTAGCCCTAAACTATGGACAAATAACTTCATGAATATTTCCTTGCAAGAAACTATGCTGTCTCTGGGCATATAAGGGAAATGATCCAGACTCACAAATAGTTTAATATTGAAAATGATAGAAAAGTAAATAAAGCATTCCAATAAAGAAGCGTTTCTAAACCTCAGCATTATTGACATTTTGAACAGGATAATTCTTTATTGTAGGGGCCTGATCTGTACATGGTAGGAATTTAGCAGCATCCCTGGCCTATCCCTACTAAATGCCAATAGCAACCACAAATGTCTCTGGACATTGCCAAATATCCCCCGGGGGATAAAAAATCATCCCTGATCTAGAGCCACTGCAATGAAGTGTGAAGAATGCATTAAGAAAAGAGGTTATACAGCAGGGCAGCTAACCTGGTTTAGAAGAGTCAGAGGAGGCTTCCCAGAGAAAGACTGTCAGTGTTGAAATGAGAAGGAATTAGCAAGGCAAAGAAGGGGCAGAAGGGGACAATAGGAAAGAGCATTCCCAAGCAGAAGAAATGATATTGTAAAGACCTGGAGGCAAGAGAGACTTTGGTCAGTTAGAGAAATTGGAGTGATATATACAAAGGGGAGGGAGAGAGGGAGGAAAGAGCATGAGATCAGCTGGCAAGGGAGGCTGATGCCAGGGAGAATGAACTTTACCCTAAAGGCAATGGGAAGCCAATGGTGGATTTTAAGTTTCAACCTATCTAAACTGGGGTATTGGACTAGATGGTTTTGAAGTAGCTTCCCATCTCACACTTCCGAATGCATCTGTAGGTGTGAGTGTCTTAACATCTTACCACTGTGGTTTGCATTGCTGTTTGCATCATTTCTTTTTGATCATCTTTTAAGTCGTCTCTTATTCCAAATGTGATATAGACGTCAGCCTCAGTGACTACTTTATTATAAAAATATCTGTCAGACAGTAACATAAAACTCTTTTACTAACATGGTTACAACAACAGGATTCAGATAAAATGTAACAATTTGAAATTACATAAAGCACTTGATGCACTTTAAAGTGTGTTTCATCCACTGTTACATTTCATCCTCATAAAGCCACACAAATTAAGCTATGTGCTAGATGGAAAAAATTGATCTTGGGGCAATCACAAGACTTAGATCCAGGGCCCTTTCCTATAGGCCAAATTATTTCCTTGATGATTTTAATATCAGTGGGGAACTACTCTCTATTTTCTTTTATGTCTTTAAAAGGTACATGTCCAATCTCACTGTTATATGAGATATACTCTTCATAAAAAATTCAAACTGCATGTTTTCCTTTTTAGTTTAGAATTAAAGTAAGAATAAAGTAAACTTTCTATCCAGCAAATAATACTATAGCAAGAGCTAACTTTCCTTATTTATGGTTTGAATAAATAGTCCCCATTATAGGAAGTCAGTTTCTATAATTTTCTCTCAAGTGAGCCTTTTATTCCGGTATAGACCAGTAATAAACATTCTATTTTCCAAATAAATGCAAATAAGAGAGTCAGCATAGGGTAATGTTTGAGGCATGGACTCTGGAACCAGACAGACTATGCAAATTACTAGCTGTGTGATTTTGAGCAGATTATTGAACGTTTATGTACTTCAGGTTTTTTTCACTTGTAACATGGGGATAGTAACAATATTAATGCATAGAGTTGTTATAAAGATTAAATGTGCTGATTACGCTGAGTGCTTAGAAGAGTGCCCTACACATATAGTTATATAAATTGGTGTAACTAGATTATATTGTCATTTTTAAATGACAAGCATTTGTGATAGGCTGCTTGAAAAACTAACCTCAAATTCTCTACTTCCCCATGTATCCACAACCTTTGCACAGTTCCTTCTGTCCACAAAGTGTGGGGGGAGTCTATTGCCTCTGGGCTGACCTTGTAATTCGCTTTGGACGAAGGAATGCGTGGAAGTGATGGTGTGCCAGCACCAACCTAGGCTCAGGAGAACTTTTATGCTTCCATTCCCTCTCTTTGAGCATTGCTGCTGCTACAGGTTAACCTGCTGGATGATGAGAGGCACACACATTTTTAGTCCCATCCAACTACCAGACATATGGACAGGACCTTCCTATACCAGCCAGCCCCCAGCTGACCTACCAATTGGCTGCAAGTACATGGGCGAGTCCAGCTGACACCAGCCTGCCAGATCAGCAGAACTTCTCAGCTGACTCATAAATGGTGGTAGTTTTAAGGCACTGGGTTTTGAAGTAGCTATGCAGCATTAGCTGGCTGAGAAAGTCATTCAAAATGGTAGGAAGTGAGGGCTTCATATCTCAGTCCCAATATCCTAAGTCACCATAGTTTCTAAACACACATACACAACAAGCTTAGATCTTTGGCACTTTTCTTTGTTTTTGCTAGTGAGTAGCCAACAAAGCTAAAATCAGAATCAGCTAAAATCAGAATAAGCAAATCAATTATCAGCATGATGTGTCCTTTATCAATTAGACCCAAAATCATAGCCGACTTTGCTAATAAATCACAGATCTCACTTCGGGCACCTATCATCAAGAGTTGAGTTAATTTGAAAAAAAAAACAAAAAAACAAAAAAACAAAAAATAACCCAAATGTTCTTACCTGGCTTTTATAGTAATTTCAAAATTCTTAAAGTTGTTATAACCAATAAAATTACTTTCTGGTTCTATTGAGACAGAAAAATGTGGCAAGACTGAAAATAAAAACAAGGAGGCAATATTACCATTTTTATTAGAGCAGACTTTAAAGCCTATCAAATAGCTAGACTTTCTGGTATACTTGGACAAGCTGTAACATCAACACAACATCCACCTTATCATCATCATCATCATCATCATCATCATCATCATCATCATCAACATCTCTGCAGAGCCTTCTCATTCTACCAATCAGAGGTCAATCTAGAAGCACTTTGCCTATATTTTGATTACAGCATTTATTATAGGCAATAGATTATTTCTTTCATTAGAGCATAGGCTCCTTGAAAACAAAAAAACTTTTCAATAGTGACATAACATAATGAGATTTGCATTTCAAGATTATTTTGGCTGATATCAAGCAAGATAGCTTGGAAGCAGAGACATCAGTTAAAAGGCTTTTGCAGCAGTCCAGGAGGGAGACTACTGATAAATCAATGAGAGTGGCTGCAGATAGTAAGAGGTGAGTGGATTCTAGACATACAGAGAAAATGGCAAAAACACTTAGAAGAAGGGAGATGGTTTAGAATTATATATTACAGAGAGCCTGTAATATTTAAGATTGAGTTTCATCATAACAAATTTGTTTGGTCACTGTTTCCCTTGTTAATTGTTAAAATTTGTGTCAGTATTTATTCTTCTCCATGTCATTATGAATCTCTTGAGGGAATAAAAAAATGGCTTTAAGCAGAAGAAAGTTAACTTCTGTAGCAGAGCACACAGAAACGCTAGTAAACTACTATAAGAAAAGAAAAATTAAATTATTTACATTACTTGTTAGACTATTAATATAATTTATTTCAAAGTAAGAATATTTTACATATTCAAATTAATATACTGGGAATTTAGGAGCCAGAAAATAGTGTTGGACTAGGGGTAAGGAAACCTAATTGTTGTTTTTGTTTTGTCACTAATTGGTTTTAAGTCTCAAGTAAATCATTTATTGGTCTTACTGGGTTCCACTCACTATTTAAGTTTCTCCTAATAATAATCCCAATTCTAGAAAGTATCTTTATTAGTCAAGCTTTTCAGGGGACTAGATCTCCTCTAGCTTTCCGATGGGGAACACAAGTACACAGAGGTTGGTCTGCTTGCTCAAGGTTAAAGGCATGCTGGAACTAGAATTCAGGCATTCAACTACCATTCCACCCTCCAACCCCTAGTCAGTACTTCTAGCCATACCAGCTGGCTGCCTCATCTTCATCTAGGAATAATTTTGCATTAACTACACTATTAAAAAGAATTATTGAAAACACTAACTTTTTATAGGAAAACTTTTAATTGTCAGAAATTACCATATTCTTTAACTTCAAAATAGGCAGTTCCAGTTGTTGAAAAGTCTTCTTTATATTTAGCCTGGATCGTCCACACACCATATCTGTGGAAGCAAAATATTTTAAATTACAGATGTCATCAAATGTTTTTAATTCACTCAAAGGAGATCTAATAAATTTCTGTTTTAAAGAGGGAAGAATACACAAAGATATACAAAACCTAAGTAATATATTTTATTTGTGACTGATTTTTAAGCAGTAAGTAATTGAGCATTTTTAGGATACTGGGTAACAAATTGTTTAGTAACTAGTTTTTCATATATTGTATAATTTTTCCTGGTATTTTATCTTAATAAAGCCATTAGTTTTGATTTGAAGAGCTTATGATTTCTGAGAATTTATTTAATCTTGGAGCCTAATTATGCTAACATAATACTAAAATCCAAAATATAGTATAAAATCCATAATAATGTCTTGAGAAACATATAATACAAGACAAGCTTATCCAGATGATAAAATTTATACCTCACAAAAATGAAATTATGGTTGGAAGCAAAGCATGGTGTTTTTAAAGACAAAAATGATCTGGCTTTAATTAACAACCTTTATTAAAATATATATACTAGGCCAAGCACAGTGGCTCATGCCTATAATCCCAGCACTTTGGAAGCCAAGGAGGGAGGATCACTTGAGCCCAAGACTTTCGAGACCAGCTGGGGCAACATGGCGAAACCTCCCCCTCTACAAAAAAATATAAAAAGCAGTCTGGTGTGGTGCTGTGTGCTTGTAGCCCTAGCTACTCGGGAGGCTGAGGTGGGAGAATTGCTTGAGCCCAGGAGGTCAAGGCTGTGGTGAGCCAAGATGGTGCTACTACACTCCAGCCTGGGTGACAGAGTGAGACTCTGTTTAAAAAAAAAAAAAAGTGTGTGCATGTGTGTGTGTGTGTGTGTGTATGTACATATATATACATAATATATACATACACACGCATACTGAGGCTACCTTTCAGATTGGCTATGCAGTCTACAAATTTTAATAGTATTATTATAATGATTATTATTATCATCATCAATTCAATGAATATTTATCAAGGGCCTATTATGTTGAACTGTTGGTGTGCAATACAGACAAGGCCTGCCTCAAGGAGTTTATAAGCTAGTAGGGAATAAAAAAGCCAGCAACCAAGTAAAGAAATGACTATGACACTGAGATAAGCGTCATGGAGAAAATAAACAAGATGCTGAGATAGGGAGTAAAACAAAGCAAGAGATTACATTAGATCGTGCATCCAGGAATAGCCTTTTTGTAAAGGCCGCATCCACTCTGGGTCATAACAATGAAAAGAAGCTGGGCTTATGAAGAGCCAGGTGAAGCCCACTCTAAGTAGAGGGGAAGACATGCAAAGGTACAGAGGTGGGAAAGCACCGGACATGCCAGACCTTCATGGCTGGCACATAATCTGCCATTGGGCAAGTGGCACAAGATGAAGTTGGAGAAATAATAACAATAATAAAATAATAGGTCCAATTCTGCACTGTGGACCATGTAGCATTTTTAAGAATGTACAGAAGTTTAAAAACATCCAAGTTACTTAAACCCCCTAAATTCAATTCAAAGTTTTAGAAAAATTTTAGTACAGTGAATTAACTGTGAACTCCTCTTTAGAGGGCAGAGGAAAATGACCACAAAAAGATGTTGCTCTAAAATTATAGTGTATAGGTGCACTTGTCTTATTCATTCTGCTCTGTTACAAATTTTTTTCCTTTTTTTCTTTTCTTTTTTTTTTTTTTTTTAGAGATTCAGTTTTGCTCTTGTTGCTAAGGATGGAGTGCAGTGGTGTGATCTTGGCTCACTGTAACCTCTGCTTCCCAGGTCCCAGGTGCAAGTGATTCTTCTACCTCAGCCTCCCTAGAAGCTGGGATTACAGGCGCCCACCACCACACCTGGCTAATTTTTTGTATTTTGGGTAGAGACAGGGTTTCACCATGTTGACCAGCTGGTCTCAATCTCCTGATCTCAGGTGATCCACCCATATTGGCCTCCCAAAGTGCTGGGATTACAGCCATGAGCCACCACACCTGGCCTATGATAAGTTTCTTGAAAGTAGGGACTGTGGATTCTTTATTTTGTATTTCTCCCTCCTATTGTGATTTGCACATATCAAGAATGTGTTCACTGAATATTTATTACACTGAATCCTCTTTAAACTTTTTCTTAAATCATTTTGTGTGAGGCCAAATAATAGATATACCTCTGAGAACTCCTTCCCTCTTGGACTTTGCCTGCTGGTAGTTTATCCAGGCAAAAACTACAGATGACCATATTTTACAGTAACCAAAGCAAGGAACAAGACCACACCAGTCTTTTAAGCTGACAATATATTAGATACTTTGAGGGGCAGAAGTTTATGGTTTTGATGAGAAAAAAACCTGGGTACTATTATTTTCCTCTTCCAAATTTTTATTTCTATATGTAAAAAGAATGGGTGAGAAGTATTGGAATTTTTTTTGCCAAGAACAGAGCTTAAGTTCTCGCTAGACTTCAAAAGACTTTGCATATTCACATATGTGACACCCTTTATTAACACTAGGTGGCTCCCTTTAACTGGTTATCTGCTTCTCCACCAAAAGTTCCATATATGCTTTTAACGAAATTTTTTTTTTAACAATTATTTTAACATACTTAGGATTAGATGGAATTTTGAAGTCAGGAAAAGAGATAATTCCAGTATAATCAATTTCTTCTACCATGTCAACTTCTGATCCTTCAGGGTCCTGTGAATAAAACAAACACCCTCAAAAATACTTGTAGATTAAATATTTGAAGGCAAATACCCATGTCTTCAAATTAAATATGAAGGATGAAGATCAATTAAATGTTATAGAAGGGAGATATGGTTCATTTCAGCTATTTCCCTTCTTCTTTTTCCAATATTCCCTATCTCTCCTCATTACCTTGAAGAGACTCAACTCTGTTGTACATCTAAAAGATAAAGTGTAACATGTAAAAACAACAAAAAATTTGCAGGACTGAAAAAATAAACAACAAAAAACAAACGAACAAACAAAAACTGATGTTTTTGATAAACTAAATGTGAATTTGGCAGGCTTTATAAATACCAGAATCCAATTTTTATATATGTTCATTTGAAGCTTTCAAAAGCAAATATTCTATAAACCATATTTTTTTATCCAGATGTTTTATAAGTGTACAGTATGGGCATTTTCAGCTTGGTAAAACTCTCAAATGGTTAAACAAATTTGGTAGTTCTCATAAAGCTTCCCCATAAACTTTATTTTGTGTTTGGGTTAGCAAATTATTGAAATGAGGTTTTGACTTTCTTTGGACTACACATGGAGGTCCAATTCAGCTTTAACTCAACATACAAACATAGACAACATAAGTGAGACCCCTATCCTGTACAAAAAAACTTTTTTGAGACAGGGGCATTGCTCTGTCACCCAAACTAAAGTGCAGTTGTGTGATCATAGCTCACTGCAGCTTTGAACTCACAGGCTCAAGCAATCCTCCCACCTCAGCCTCCCAAGTAGCTGGAATCACAGGCATACACCACCATGCCCAGATTTTTTAAATTGTTATTTTTTATTTTTAGTAAAGATGAGGTCTCACTATATTGCCTAGGCTGGTCTCGATCTCCTGAGCTCCTCCATTTTAGCCCCTCAAAGTGCTGGGATTACAGGCGTGAGTCACTATGACCAGCCTACAAAAATTGTTTAAAGAGTTAGTAGGGTATGGTGATGGGTGCCTGTGGACCTAGCTACTCAGGAAGCTGAGGCAGGAGCATGGCTTGAGCCCAGGAGTTTGAGGCTACAGTGAGCTATGATCACACGACTATACTCCAGCCTTGATGATAGGGCAAGGCCCTGTCTCAAAAACAAAACAAAACAAAAACCTGAACACAAAAACTTAGCACTATTTACCATGACTGAAATTCACAGTTGGATTTAAGAGGTACTTTTTTTTCTTAATTAACTGTAAAACTTAGAGAAGCCTATTCTGGACAAGAATTACACTTGTAGCTGATTATTTTTATGGCTACTCTTCATCCCACTATCCATTGTGCACGATTCTTCTAAGGACATCTTTCTCAGGTACTATTTTCAGGATATTTCCTCTATGGTAACTCCTACAGCTCTGGGATCAGTTTCCTCAATCCTTTCTTCCAGGAGCAGCTCTTACAAGTGATGACTGGCATTCATTTTTCTCCACATTATGCCAGGATTCTGCATCACTCAAGTTCAACCATGAAGATACTGGATCAAGAGTATATGCCTACACCCCTAGCATTCTCTGATAGAAACAGGGCATTTGAGCTGACATTGCTCTCCTTAGTTGTCTTTCAGATACTCTATCAGTCAATCAGTTTATTTACTAGCTTTATTTTCTTTCATTTCCTCTTGCCCCCATAGCGTAACTGACTCTGTTTCTTACATGGGAAGGTCTTCACTATTTTTAAATAATTTATGTCAACTCCTTTCATCGACACCCAACCCAGGGTTCCCTTTATGTATTCCATTCCAGAGAAGGATTTGTATCTCCCCAACTCTCACCTCTCATTGGTATTCCCTCTGAGCTCATGGTATTTTTCCTACTGAATAATTTATTTATTTGGTTTATATTTTAGTATGGTTTTGTTCTCTAGTACCTATTCTTTTGCACCTGCATTCTGATAAGATTTTATTTTGTTTTTGTTGTTGTTGTTTTTTTTTTTTTGAGTAGCAGAAAAAGTGCTGCAGCCTATGTTGAAGGACCATTAGAAAACCTACTGTTAATAACTGAGCAGTTATAACTAGTTGTATTATTTTATTTCCTCACAAAAATGTTTGAGATGTGTGACACAAATTGGATGAGATGGTGGGAGTTCAGTGCACATCATCTGTTATATCTGTCACGTCTGATGACATGGTGAATAACTGCTGATCTTTAACTCATGGTTTAGCAAGATTTTTTATGTCTTAGTATATTAGTGATTAAACTCTAAGTTTCTTAAGAGTAAGGGCCATGAAATATAATTCTTTATTCTAAATTGTACAAGTCAAAAATCTTGCACATAACAGATACATCATAGATATATCCATTTTGTATATCTTATAGTTAAATGGATATGCAATCAATTCTTAGTGATTGATGGGTGTTCTTTAAAAAGGAAATCATCACCAAGGTCGTATTTAAATGGTTTAGCTCAAAATCCTTCAAGTTGTTAAAATTTAATTTTTATCAGCCTTTCACATACATATATTACAGAGGTATAGATCTATGATACTATATTTATTGCAGATGTTCAATACCCATTTATGGAACATTGACTGATTCAGTGTAGTGTGAAAACAGGGTTATAAAATGATATTCTTGTCCTGAAAAAATGAATTAAAGTATTATTTAAATAAATAAAATACTTACTATGAAAGTTAAGACAGTTTCTCTTTTGGCTGGCTTCAAGTCATCATTCAATGAATAAACTCTAACCTTTACTGTAAGAATAATTGATATCATCAAAAACTGGTAAATGCAAGGATATTTTGATTTTTTTAAAACAACCATCCTTAAAAGAAATGACTCTTACTTAAAAAAACTCAATATACAAAAGTCCATGTTTGAAAGGAAGAAAAATTAGTTTGCAGACATATACATTACTAAAGATTCTTTTATTTAAGAGAATTCTCTGGGCTTCATTTAAAGAACTATTTCTCTTAGTGGGTTTAAAGTACAGTTCACTTTATTAAAATGCATTTACCTACAATGTTTTGAGAACACAACCACAGTATGAAATTAATTACATCTGTAATTAGGTCATTATTTATAAAAAATTTCATAGTAGCAAAACAGTGATGTCCACCATATGGTTATAGGGGAACATAATACAGTGTCCATAATAGAATTGAAGATTTTAATGGCAAATTGGGAGTTTGATTCAGACACACACTCTCACTTATGAAAACCAACAAGGCTCCAAGTCAGCTCTTACTGCAAAAGGCAGCTTTGAATTGTACGGTTTTGTTATATTTATTGAGCCAGATCCTACAATTGTTCTCTCATTGTTAAAAGAGTAATGGCAGGGGCTCAATAACTGTAAGTTCTCTTCCATTTCTTTCTGTCAGTTAATAGATTCCTACTTTTTAAACAAAAGCATCTGTTTCGCTTTTAACTCACAGCTGTTTGAGACACAGAGATCTAATTCCTTCCACTGACATTCTGTAATTTCTCTAGGGTATTGCTGATGCTCAAACCATTTCATGGCCAAAACTTCATCCACAAAATAAAATAGAACTGGCACCATAAACCCAATATCTTTTAAAAGATCAGGATTATGCAAGGTTCTATATAAGAAGCCACATTAACCTGGTTTACTAAGTTCACAAGATAAAAACAACGTGCTCAGTAAATGCCCCATTCTCTGCTCTCTCCTTCCCCTCACACCTGTCTCCCACTACAAATCCTATCTCCTGCTTTTTGGACACACCCAGTTCAGGCCTGAGTATCACTGGGAAGCTGCCCAAGGCAGAATGTCACAAAAGTTAAGAGCACAGGCCCTGGAATTAAAAACTTTGGTTTCACCACTGCCTCTGCCACTTTCTAGTATGACTCTGAGTGCGATACTTAATCTCTCTAAACCTTAGTTAACCTCTTGTAAAACAGGAACACTAGTGTCTGCTCATAGGGTCCTTGTGAGAATTAAAGAACACAAAGCTTTTGCACAGCCTGAATGCTAAGTAATCAATAAATGCTTATTATTTTATTTTATTATTATTTCTATGACTGCTATTTGGCTAGTTTTTAACCCAGTTTGTGTTTAGGTTAGAAAATTAATCTCGTCTTCACAGTGATGGTATAGTGGAGGCAAGATCTATACAATTTTTTGTATAAAAGATATGGCTTATTAGCAGAGCACACTGGCTCATGCCTATAATCCCAGCACTTTGAGAGGCTGAGGCAGGTGGATCACTTGAGGTCAGGACTTGAAGACTAGCCTGACCAACATGCTGAAACCCTGTCTCTACTAAAAATACAAAATTAGCTGGGCGTGGTGGCAGACGCCTATAATCCCAGTTACTTAGGAGGCTGAGGGTAGAGAATCACTTGAACCTGGGAGGCAGGGATTGTAATGAGAGAAAATTGCGCCACTGCCCTCTAGCCTGGTTGACAGAGTGAGACACCGTCTCAAAAAAATAAAATTAAATTAAAATAAAAGATATGGCTTATTTGTTTTTTTTTTTAAAGGGTTGAATGCCTTCTAATGTGCCAGGCATTATGCTAGGTACTGAGATACAGTAGTGAAAGAAATCAGACATGGATATCTTTTAATGGAGTGGAGGAGAGAGGCAAATACAATTATATGTAAAATTTCAGGGTGTGAAGTGCCACAGAGGATAGTTGCCTGGCCTTATGAGCATGTAGAAGAGAGAGATTTGAAGAGGTGAGGGAAAGCTGCCTTTGGAAGAGTCTGTGATGACATGTGATGGTGAAGTAGAAGTTAACGAGGCAAAGGAGGGCAAGCATGTACCGTGCATAGACATACACAGGCTTTAATGTGAATGGGGAAACGGTGTGAGAAAGCATCTGAAAGGAGGCCAATTTGGCTTGCATCTGTGAAGGGTGGGACCATAGGAGGTGACGAAGCTGGAGAAGAAGGCAGGACACAGGCTTTATGAAATTGAAGGATTTGGGCCAATATTCTAAAGTCCTTTATCCAGTAAAGACTTGAAGATTTAAGCCTTTATCCTAAAGATGCTTACACTAAAAATCCCTCAAGAATCTTCAGATTAAGTGTGTTGATCAGGACATTACAGCTATAAATAACAAGAACACTAAAAAATACTTTTAAGTAATTCTTTTTCTTTTGTGCAAATATGGCTTTGTGTTATTCCATAGACAATAATGAAAAAACACATTCCTAGTGCTTACTGTGTGCTTGGCACTATCTTAAGTGGTTTACACATATGAATTCAGTTAATTCTCACAACTCTGTGAGGCAAGTTGTATTATTGTCTCCATTTTACAAGTGAGGAAAGTGGGGGTCTGAAAGGCTGAGTAATTCACACAGGGTCATGTAGCTCACAGCAGCTCAAGCTGGGATTTGAATCCAGGCAATCTGACTCCAGAGTGCTTTTAACCAATTTATTCCACTACCTCTCAGAAATGGCCCAATATTTATAGGAAATGTCTCTTATTTTCCTCTAGGATTAGAATGGATATGGATATTAAATCTTTTTTGGTTTGTTTGTTTTTGTTTTTTGAGACAGTCTCACTCTGTTGCCCAGGCTAGAGTACAGTGGCATGATCTCACTGCAACTTCTGCCTCCCACATTCAAGCGATTCTTGTGCCTCAGCCTCCCGAGTAGCTGGAATTGCAGGTGTGCACCACCACATCTGATTAATTTTTGTATTTTTAGTAGAGACAGGGTTTCACCATGTTGGCCAGACTGTTCTCAAACTCCTGACCTCAAGTGATTCACCTGCCTTGGCCTCCCAAAGTGCTGGATTACAGGCATGAGCCACCATGCCTGGCTGGATATTACATCTTCTTACAGTAAAGTCCTGATAGAGAAATAATACATGAAGCCATTGTTAAGGAAAGTCTTGATAACTAAAGAAGGTCCCAGGCTCTGGGTATTACACTGCTTGTTGGACAAAGACTGATGACCTTAAGTTGTGGGAAGTGTCAACAGGATCCAAGCAATGAAGTATCCTTCAATGTAGGAGGAGGATAAGGGAGATGATATGCTCGTTTCTAGGTATGATTATATTTAAAAGGACCCAATCTTTGTGAGCAGAGACTATTTCCTTGCATACCAAGTTGTCTCTTGGAGTAAAGAGATGGTACTATTCTAGCAATGATACTCTGGCCAAGCAGATAGCAATATCTCTACTCTTCCTAGGCCTTTCCTTTCTGAGCTGTCATAACAAATGCTCCTGCTGAAATGGTAATGGTGCAGTCCAGGTCCACCCCTCTATTCTCATTATCAACATCAACCAACATTTAGCAAATATCTACTGTGCACAAAGTTTTTCAACAAAGTCAGCTGGTCCCCACTACCTTTCTCTGTCCTGCTCCAACAATATCATTAGTGAAATTGCATAACCTCTCCCTCTCACATACACATCTCACATATTGTTTCTGATGTGCTTAAAAGTCAGTGATGGTGAGAGAGAGAAACAGGGGAATGGAAGGCTTTGCAAACATGTGAATATATTGGGCAGCATTCATGCTTTTCTGTGTTTTACTTTTGGTCATTGGAAATAAGTCCAGTCATTCCTATTCACATGATTTTGATTGGCTATTCTCCCCTTTTGCCTCCAACAGAAGAACAATGTTCTAACAGAAACTTTCTTAGGTAGATTCCCCTTTGAAAATTAATATCCATATATTTCTGTGATCTAGTTTATTCTCTGTTGAAACATCTGATCCCCTAGGGTTAGATTTATTTTTCCAGTTTGGGGATAGCTCCAGACTCAGTGGAATTTTAAATGAATATTGTTCTATAATGAATTATTGTCCCATTGCCAAATTATATTTGCAATTAAGTCTATTTGTTTTGTTTTTTTTTTTTTTTTGAGACGGAGTTTCGCTCTTGTTATCCAGGCTGGAGTGCAATGGCACGGTCTCGGCTCACCGCAACCTCCACCTCCTGGGTTCAGGCAATTCTCCTGCCTCAGCCTCCTGAGTAGCTGGGATTACAGGCACGCATCATCATGCCCAGCTAATTTTTTGTATTTTTAGTAGAGACGGGCTTTCACCATGTTGGCCAGGATGGTCTCGATCTCTTGACCTCGTGATCCACCCGCCTTGGCCTCCCAAAGTGCTGGGATTACAGGCTTGAGCCACCGCGCCCGGCAAGTCTATTTGTTTAATAAATAAGATCCGAACATGACATTTTACAATTTTGAAAAAGCATTTTCTACTTGAAAATAACCAACGGGGCAGATAATGTAATTGTTGGTTTTGTAATTTATTTACAACTTTCCCCATAAATTTAAAATTAAAATGCTATTAAATATTTGAAAATACAGATGTCATTGGGAATTGAGATTCTTTTGAGCATATTAGAAACTATCTCTGCAAGGCCGTTTGCCTCGCTGGGAGCTTGGACATGCCCATCCCTCTCCATGCCTGACATTAGGTCACCAGAATCTGCACTCAGCATCTAGCTTTGCCATGCCCACCTCTGCACTCAACACTAAACTCTGCACCCGGCACCTAGACAGCTGTTGGAAAACTCCGCCAAAATCTGCCCAATAGTGTATGGCCCCATCCAGTTTGCTCACTGGAAATCCCGTCTACTTACCTATAGCAGCTTGCCACGTCCACATCCTGTTTCTCCACAGCCAATCAGAGTGCTTTCCCTCCCTATATAACCCCACGCCTGAGAGGAGTCAGGCGTACCTTCCCTGGCCTCTCTCCCCAGGGCCACGGAACCTCACTCGGGAGCTGAATAAATTGGCATTTAATCTTTCTATGCAGGCCTCAGTTTCCTCATTTTAAACTCAGCAATATACATCACAGAGAATAAACTTTACAATCTCCACTCAGTTTCAGATGTTAAAAAGCTCTACGATATAGTGTTAAATCCCCCACCCAGAGAAATATCTTATACTCTACCTGACTGGTCTGGAGTATAAACAGGCTTGTCTGCATGAATGAAGAGAAATCCATTGTCATAGGTTATTGGCATTTTTTTTGATTTTGAAAAATGCTTTGATACAACTTCCAAATACACATAAGAAACTGGGTTTTGTCCTCCAGGCAATTGTTTTGGTTGTATCTAGAAAAGAAATTGTTGATGGAAAACAATTTATAATTTTTCTACATATAAGTATAATAATTTTAAAGTTATTAAACACATTAACTTTCTAAATACCACTATAATCTCATGAGTATGTATATGTAATCATTTAAAAAGTGATACAGGAGCAAGAAGAGTAAATAAATTTTTCCCAAAGCCCTTTAGTGTCTAATTACACAATAAAAATTTAGCTTTAAGCAATTGAAAGTCACTTTGGTTTCATGTTTCCTAAATTTTATACAGATTTAGTGAAACTACTACTATAAAAGGCTTTAAGAAACCTTCACTCAATTAGTACTACAGATCAAATCATATTCATGGTTCTTGATTTCTTTCCAATAATAATTTTCATGGCAAACAAGTATTTTCGATTATTTCCAAATATTTTCATGTTAGTACAATTTTATTTTCCAATAAGGATGTGAAAATTTACAAGCATTGCTTAAAAAGCAGACATAACTCCTCTGCTTAGAATTTTCTGTTTCACTTATATTATCATGAGTAACTGACATCATCTAATAATCCCACAGTGGTAGAGTAAATGATTGCATCTCTATGTTATCAATATTCAAACTTTGTACACATTTTTGTTGAGAATATTCTGTATATGTAAAGAAAATAAAGGGTATATACATACTGTTAAGACTGCAGAGTTTTGGAATTTATTCTGTGAGGATAAATGAACATAGCCTGAGGAGTAACTAATTTTTTTATCAGGATAACTTTTAATAGAGATTGTTGCATCAAATGCTTCAGTGTATCCATAAACTTGAATTACAATATTTTCAGATGCTCCAACACGGAATATTTTTGGTGCTGAAATGACATATCTGTTGAAAAAGGAAAAGATAAGGCTCAGTGTCTTTATATGACATATTTTCTTATGCTTTTGATTTTTTTCTCTCACTTGAGAGATTCCATTTAAAATGCATGTATTTCCTCACTTAAAAATGATATTAGTAAGTAAAAATGTACTTGTGACCTACTATAATGTCAGCATAATTTCCAAGAAGTAGTTTGGAATTAAGACCTGAGAAATGAAGTTGGAGGTTTAGTTTACATTTAGAAAGGTAAAGTAATAATAGTACCTTCTCTTAGCTACTGTAGCCAAGGAAGACTTTGAATCATGTTGATCAGAACATGTAAATGGGGGTCAATATTTTTTGCTCAATGAAGAAAAAAGCAGTATAGGCACCAGTGATTGAATTCCAGCTGTGCCATCTGCTGGCTGAGTGACTGTGGTAAAGTCACTAACTCTTTCTGATGCTACAATAACTTACTCTGAAAATAATCAGCTTCTTTACCAGGATCTGATAAAGATTACATAAGAACATATATGTGAAAGGTCCTAGCATGCTTAGTACTCAATATGTTAAGATTTATTAATCTCACTAAATTAAGTTAAAAGGGAGTGATCTTAGAAATACTATGTCATACTAGCAAATGGATAATGAAAAGGATAAAATATGAGTGAGCTGGGAAGTGCATTTGGAAATGGAAATAGTGATGGTGTCCTTTAAGAGCAAATCATCATCATCTTCAAACAGCAATGGCAATTAAGTACTTGCCATGTATCAGAGGCTTTATCAGCATTTTACATACAACTCTTGTTAATCTTTACAATAAGCCAATGACACTGATACTATCATTATTCCTATTTTGCAATTGGTAAGAGGCTATCTTGGCTAAGGTTATATGGTTTGTAAGTAAATGGGGGAAGACTTTATATCTGTTCTCTCTCAGTCGTTATGTGTACATTTGAGGTTAGGGTTATAAGTGTTATTCACAATCATAGACTGTTCTCTTATTTTTACTTTTCATGTGATTTATACAAGAATGGAACTTAATCTATACATGTTTTTGAAACAAATTTTTAAATATGTGATTTTTATTGTTTTAATAAATAAAAATTCACAAATATAGACTGAATTATTAACTGTATATCACAAGCATGCCTAATTTGAATATCGAGAACTACATATGCTATTACATAGGAAAAAAATGTGTTTTAACCCAAAAGGGCATAGTGAACGACTAATTCAAGTGGTCCAACAAACTTGAAGTGCACCTACCACCCCACTTGGCAGAATTATTGCAGGCTTCTGCCAACATTATGACATTTTAAGAGTCTGGTAAAGCAGGAAGCTTTTAGTAACAATGGAATTAATTTATCAGCAATTAAATCATTTAAAAAAATTTTTTTAATTTATTTTTATTTTTATTTATTTATTTATTTATTTTTTTTCAGCAATTAAATCATTTAAAGCATCTGGCAGTTCTCCTACATGACAATTAATTTGGATCCACTTATAGGCAAATTACAAAAGAGAAGAAAGAATTTCCAGATTTCCAACCATCATCTGAATTCCCTTTCCCCACATGCCTAGCAGGAGATGGCAGACAATGAGAAGAGTTCAGCTTTTATGGTAATAAGATACATTTACTGAAATTTTACCCTGTGCTAAGGCACTATTCTGAATACTTTATATATATAAACTCATTGTGTTGAAGAACTATTACTCCAATTTTAAGGTGAAGAAACTGCTAATTAACTTTCCCAAGGCCACACATATAGGATTTATGAATTCTATAATTCACAAATTACAGAATTAGGAATAGAACCTGAGCAGCCCATTTCCAGAATTAACATTTTCAACTGTTGTACTAAATGGAATTTATCAAGAGTTTTGTCATTAGAAAAATTCAGAGATACAAAGCTACTTTAATTTCAGTATTTATAGAAGCTTTATGTTCTTCAGTTTAGTATTGCCTTAGTTTTGAATTGTCTATGTCAGGGGCCCCAACCCCCTGTTATTACTAACCCCTGTTAGGAACCAGGCCACACAGTAGGAGGTGAGCAGTGAGGCAAAGGATCATTACCACCTGAGCTCTGCCTCCTGTCAGATCAGTGATGGCATCAAATTCTCATAGGAGCATGAACCCTGTTGTGAACTGTGCATGTGAGGAATCTAGATTGCACCCTCCTTTTGAGAATCTAATGCTTGATGATCTGCAGTGGAACAGTTTCATCCTGAAACCATCCCAACCCTAACCCCGGTCCATGGAAACATGGTCTTACACAAAACCTGTCCCTGGTGCCAAAACGGTTAGGGACTGCTGGTCTATGTGATGGTAGCAGTCAAGCCTAAAATATTAAGTGTTTAGAAGCCCCTAAAAGATGATTCTGGAACCACCCTTCATAAAGATTTTAGTTCTTATTTATGCTACTTATGCTCAGTAGCATAATCTATTCATCTAAAAAACTTCATAGTTTTCTTTGTCTTCCAATTGCTGCAGAGGATCAGGCTACTGAGCTTGCAGAGAGGCAAGAATGTTACTTTGGCCTCTACCTTGAATACTGTTTCCTCAAATATTTGCATGGTTTGCTTCCTCACTTCCTTCAGGCTCTGTTTGAGTGCAGCTCTCCTTAAGAGACCCTTTCCTGGCCACATTTTAAAGTAGTGCCCCATAATTATTTTTTTTTAATTCTCATACTTTCTTTTATTTTTTTCTTTGTAATACTACCTACCTGACCTTACACATTCTTTCATTGGTTCATTCATTCATTACTTGCTTCTCCCACTGGAAGGCAAGCTCTAGGAATTGTCTTGCCATTTGCTATATCTTCAGTGCCTATCATATAGTTAGGTGCTCAATAAATATTTGTTGAATCAATCAATCAGACAGTTTATTAAAGTGATTAATTGCCATGTTGTAAATGGTACACTCTGACCTTTTCAGAGAAAGTGAGAAAATAATTTTTATTAAGGACCAGTAGAAAGAATTCAGAATAACTCTGGACAAGAACCATGGAACCAGGTCCTAGCCCTAGTTCTGCCACTAATTTGAAGTCAGTTAACTTCAGTCTCTCTAAGCTTTAGTTGCTTGTCTTTCAAAAGGAAATAATAAAGACAGGATGCTAAGGTAGTGGAGTGATTGTGGTCATGTGATAAAATCACAGATCAGAAACAGGAGGGTGCTAAAAAAGAATGACATCCTAAGTATGTGTTTATATATATTTATATGTATACATTTATGACAAAATGAAAAAAAAAGTGATAAAAAGGATACCTTAATAAAAATCCTGTTTCTCTCTAGAACTGTGACCTTTGGCCAGTTATTCCCCTTATCCAAACTTATCCTCATATATCAAACAAAGAGGTTTGATTAGATAATCTACAGTTACTTTTCAGTGTTAAAATATTTCTAGATATAAGATCATTATTTTTAAAACATTACCTCAAGTGCATATTATGTCAATAATGACACTAGAAATTGTGAAATCAGCTTATAAATGTATTATAGAAGTCATTATAACAACAGATTTTCAGATCACAGTATTAGACTGATTCTCAAATAATCCTGGTTCAACTGTGATAGTCTATGAAAAACACAAAGAAAAAATTAAACACCAAGTTAAAATAAGCAAAAAATGTTCAGGAAGTTTATTATCTTGAGTTTGTTTCACACTTTTTTGAAGAGGAATTTGAAAAATCACTTACATACATTTTAATAAATAACAATTCCATGTAAGCTGTCATGTTGTTAGCTACTTATCAAATCAAAATGCTTTCATGACTTTCTCATTCAGAGATGATATTATTCACTTGGTGTTCTCAGAAGTAGCAAGTTATTTTCAAATTAACACAATCTGTTCAATTTACTCTTCATTCATCACAAGATACACTGAAAAACGAAGATAGCTGTTTTACTTACGTTTGCTCTTGTCCCCAAGTTTTCCCCAGGAAGATTAAAAAACAAAGTATTCCCAAGAGGCCCATGGTTGTAGATAGCAGGAAATCATGGATATAACCGTTTTGAGGATATTCTCCTTTTAAATAAACTGAACTTGTAGAATTCAGATAACCTGGTTAATTATTAATGTCAGAAAGGTAAACATCTAAGCAGGAAAACTAGAATTGGAACTAAAACACCCTTTCATGCCCAGAAATACAGATAGGGAGTCTTTTATAGTAACTTATACCCAGGGAATTTATTTTTATTAATACAAATAAAGGGAATTTATTTTTGTTAATACAAATAAAGGGACTCTAAAATGGGAATTTGGCACTATGAAGAGCGGCTCAAAGCTAGAAACCAGTAAGCCCATTGCCTTTGGCCTTCCTTCTATTGTCCAGGGCATTTGCTTTGATGTTGCATCATCTGCAAGCACACATCCAGCAGGTCCACTCTAATACTGATGAAGACCCACCTTGACTCAGTTTTAAATTGAAATGAGTTTTGAAGCATCCTGGTTTAGACAGGGCTGACAAGATGATCTTTTTTGGAGACCTGAATGGTAGTGTCCTTGGTGCTGGAAATGGTCTGAGCATAACCTAGCTCTGCAAAGGAAGTCTAGGGAATTGTTTGGTCTATGTCAGTCTAGAGAACATTAGGTGGAGGAAAGATTGTGACTGGCAATGAAAATGCCATGCTGAGTATGCTGTTGTCCTTCTCTCTCTCTCTCTCTCTTTTTTAAATTTTTTATTTTCTGCTTTGCTGTTGTCCTTCTCTAAGTAACCAATCAAATAATTTAGTACTGACTAGGGAGTGGATATTCTCCAGTATTTATTAAGTCATACACCACTCATTCCAAGTTTGTCTTTATTCAGATATAAAATATCCTTTCTTTTAAAGAAAACTCATGTTATACCTCTCAGTCAGGATTTTAATAATTTTAATATAAAAGCTCCAGAAAAACAAAGCTTCCTACAACAACTGAGCCTACTAATTAATTCACAATGTACTAAAATTTTATCTTTATATATATATATATATTTTTTTTTTTTTGAGACAGAGTTTCTCTTTGTCACCCAGGGTGGAGTCCAGTGGCACTATCTTGGCTCACTGCAACCTCTGCCACCCAGGTTCAACGGATTCTCCTGCCTCAGCCTCTGGAGTATCTGGGACTACAGGCTTGCACCACCATACCCAGGTAATTTTTATGTATTTTTAATAGAGATAGGGTTTTACCATGTTGGTCAGGCTGGTCTCAAACTCCTGACCTCAGGTAATCCCACCTTGGCCTCCCAAAGTGCTGGGATAACAGGTGTAAGCCACCATGCCTGGGTGATTACTTGTTAATTTTTATGATGTTTATGTTCACTAGCAAGTTTTTAATTTATTATCTTCTCTTTTTCAGAACTTATTTCTACCTTAGTATATAATATGTACTGATCTTTAATATAATAAAACAGATGTCTGTAAACATATTTCTATAAATGAGATATTTATGAGCACACTGGCATTTTTTGCTTTGAATTAATACATAATAAACCAAAAATATTTACAAACCCTTTAATACTGAATTCACTAGGGAAAAAAAGAAGCACAAAGATAAATTTGATATACAAATTTCACTGAAGGTATCTCTTGCATGTCATTGAAATGACAAACATTTGCCGCTATTGTCTGATCATCTAGCCCATTTATTTCAAAAGGGAATCTGTGAAATGATTAAGCTGGGTTGCAAAAGAAGGGTCAAGTTAAAATAAACAAAGTACTTTTGCCATCATTTTTGGGAAATGAAATTTAAGAGAGAACAAGAACACTCAAATAAAGGTAGGTAATATTTGTATTTTAAGTGCAAATAAGTTTGTTTGCTTGAGCTATAAAGTAAATGTTGATAACCAATTTTTGCAAACCATTGTACTGTTTCTCTGTTAGAAAACATTTAGAAAATGATGGATCTCAAAGATTCTCAACAGAACTGAAGTTCAACAATTTATAGATTCTCAACTGTGTTTAGTCAAAATTTTTTATTTACCTTCTAAATGTGGCTCACAGATGAATTTTTGGGGCTAGATGTGGTAGCTCACACCTGTAATCCCAGCACTTTGGGAGGCCAGGGTGGGTGGATCACCTGAGGACATCAGGAGTTTGAGACTAGCCTGGCCAGTATGGTGAAACCTCGTCTCTACTAAAAACACAAAAATTAACTGGGTGTGGTGGCAGGCTACTGTAATCCCAGCTAATTGGGAGGCTGAGGCAGAAGATTCGCTTGAACCTGGGAGGCAGAGGTTGCATTGAGCAGAAATCATGCCACTGCACTCCAGGTTGAGCAACAGTTCTGTCTCAAGAAAAAAAAAAAAGATCTTTCTTTATAATTTAAAATGTGACCTTTGGTGAATCTTTGGTTTTGATACAAATGCTGTCTTTCTAAAAGAGAAGTATCTCAGATCTGGCAGAAAGTTTGGTGGTCACCTGACCTTCCTGCTAATGCTACCTCAATTCTCCCCTCATGATTGAGTCCAAATGACCTAGCCTAGGGCACAAGGACCCTCTTGAGCTGTGCTCAGTTCTCCAGCCTCAACGTTCCATTTTTCACTTTGGCCAAGGAGCTGAATTACCTGTGATTGTTCCCTGAAGTCACCGTCACACCAAGGTGCTCTTAGCAGGATAACAATTTTGTATCTTTCAAATGGATATTCTTTAGTTATTTTGCACTTATTTGGTAAAACACGTCTGAACACCAATTTTCTATTAATACAAACTCCAGAACTCTTTATGTATAATAAAGGATTTTATCGTGCATAATTTTCAAAATCAGAGCGCTTACAGGGAGGTATATTAATGGGTTATAAATTTAGAGAATAAAAAATCAGCAACATTTTGTTTGTTGTTTTCAGAAATTTAGTCCACCAGATTGTCAACTTTGAGTGCCTTCTGGCTGGCTAGAGTAAGAAGTGATGTGACCCATAACTGCCCCAGGTAATTTTCATGAGCACGTTCCCTGTCCAGAGGCCAGTGGAGAAACAGAGGTGTCTCCTCAGAATTAAATTATTCTAAACGAAGACACAAGAATCATGCAAGTTTTGTTCAAGAGTGGTAGGCTGGCACTAGGCAGGTGGGTAATTCTAAGTAAAACCCAATATTTGTCCCTCTGACTGCTTTTTGGTTCAAGCCCACAGACTCATGTTCTAATCCTTTAGTAGAAAGGCCCTAATAAAAGGCCAACTGAAATTCAAAAAGAACCACTTCAATAACTCTCCATGGGACACAGAAAAGGAAGGCACTGCAGGCTTCAGTACCAGCAGTTTAAAGACTGACTGGAGAGAGGGCAGAGGTGAAGCGAGGTAGCTGAATAGAACCCGCTCCCCGTGTCCCCCAGAGATAGTTCTCCATACTGGAACACCAAATAGAACAACTATCCATGCAAGATAGCACCTTCATAAAAGCCATAAAATCAAGTGAGTTATCACAGTGCCTGGTTTTGCCATAATGATAAGGAAAGAGGCATTGAAGATGGTGGGAAAGACCACCCTGCATTGCCTATACTACACTTCCAACAAACAAAGGCTGCACCATAGGAAAGAATCTGCGTGCTTGGAGGAGGGATAGCAAAGTGAGTGTGCGACTTTGTATTGGAGTCAGTGCTGCCCTGTCACGGTGGAACATAACACAGGACAGAACTCTGCCATTGCCCAGAATTCTGACAGCACATTTAGGCCAGGCCTTGGGCCAGAAGAGAATTCTCTGCTCCAGAGGGAGAAACCCAGGTCATGGCTGGCTTCACCACTGGCTAACTAAAGTGGTCTGAGGTCCTGAATCTATTTGAGAGGCAGTCAGGACACAAGACTAAAATCTGTAGATTAAACTTAAAATGCTAAATATCCCCAACTTACCCCTACTGACTGAATGAACTCCCACTTGGCCAAAGAGACCCCAGAACAACCTTAAAAATTGAATTCTTGGTCGTGATAGGAAGGGAGGTTACACATGCCTTGTTATACCTCCTCCCTTTGGAGTTTAGGCACAACTGGCCAGCATTTAAGTTAAAAGAGAGATCATAAGAGGGATAAAACAGACTGTGGTAGTAAGATACCAAATTATAAACAAGATCTCAGGCCATTCAGGCAAGGATTCACACCCTACACACCATAAAATGTCATCAAATGGGTTTTAAAAATCAACCTGGTATAGGCTGGGCAGAGTGGCTCATGCCTGTAATCCCAGCACTTTGGGAGGCCAAGGCAGGTGGATCATCTGAGGTTAGGAGTTCAAGACCAGCCTGGCCAACATGGTGAAACCGGTCTCTAGTAAAAATACAAAAAATTAGCTAAGTGTGGTGGCAGACCCCTGTAATCCCAGCTACTCCGAGGCTGAGGCAGGAGAATTGCTTGAACCAAGGAGGCGGGTGAGCTGAGATCATGCCATTGCACTCCAGGCCTGGGCAACAAGAGCAAAACTCCATCTTCAAAATAAATAAATAAATAAATAAATAATAAATAACCTGATATAATATGGCTTACTTTCCAACCTGACTCTGATGTAGCATCACGTGACAGAAGACCCTGATGCGAATAAAAATATTTTACCTCAAAATACATTTCTTTGACATATTTTGAAATGGCCCTGCAAAGTTATCTTTTGTGGGGGAGATTTGCATCTGAAGAGAATCTCCATTAATGCAGCCAGGCCTTCCCTTTCTAGGCTTTTCCCAGATCTCTCAGAGTTGACCTGAGAGTCTGACATCTCAAAGGTCTGAAGAGACAGACATTTGCCATTGACTCTCTCTGAGGGATGCTACCTATGAGGATTCATCTACATAACAAAAGCCGTGGACCCCACAACCTCCTTTAACTCAGGCATTACTTTCTATTGACGCTGAGCCTTTAGACAACAGAGTAACTCTCTCAACCAATTGTCAACTAAAGAATCCTTAAAACCCACCTATGTTTTGTTAAGTCCCTGCTTGGAAATGTCCTGATTTTTTTGGGCTGAATCAATGTATACTTTCCATGTATTGATTTATGTCACTGCCTTTAACTCCTGTCTCCTGGAAATGTATAAAACCAAATTGTAA